CTGGCGAATTAAGGGAAAGACGAGCTTGCTCCTACAGCAGAGGACTCTGAAAACAGGAGCATTATGGCTGTGCTTCTTAAAACCGAGCAGATGGAATGAACAAGTGGCTGGCAGTGTGGATGCAGACCTGATGACAGGTGATAAGGAGGTGCGAGCTGGTGTCCAGGCTGATGTGGACGATCCCCCAGGCTTACCCTGCTCTGACCAGCCCATCCCATCTCTCCACGGAGGCCTTTCCTCCTGTCTGGAACGGAGTTGTGGTCCTTAGGACTGGGGACTGTCCGAATCAGCTTCCTGGTCATGTCAGAGTATAATGGATCCACCCATCCACTTGTTCACCTATTTGTGAATTTATTCTTACCACTCCCGACTGCAGAAAGGATTTGAGGCAATTTAAAAAATAATAATAACAAGATAGAATAAATTAAAAGTAGGAAGCGGCCGGGCACAGTGGCTCATGCCTGTAATCCCAACACTTTGGGAGGCTGACCTGGGTGGATCACTTGAGGTCAGGAGTTCGAGACCGGCCTGATGAACATGGTGAAACCCCATCTCTACTGAAAATACCAAAATTAGCTTGATACAGTGGCACACGCCTGTAGTTCCAGCTACTCCAGAGGCTGAGGCAGGAGAATCGCTTGAACCCGGGAGGTGGAAGTTGCAGTGAGCCAAGATCGCGCCACTGCACTCCAGATCCGCCACTGTACTCCAGCCTGGGCGACACAATGAGACTCTGTCTCAAAAATAGATAAATAAATAAATAAAATATAAAAGTAGGAAGCAAAGAAGGAAGAAAGGCAATAGCGAGAGACTAAAAGGGAGCCAGGAAAGAGGCTAAAAGCGAACAGCTCAAAATTCATTTTGTGATCCTGCAGCCAGCAGCACACGTGATTTATGCACTTGTCTGTATGGATGCTAGGCAATAAAAATATCCACTTATTATTTTTTTAAAGGGATAGAGTTGGCTAGCATGCAGTTTTGTCTGACTCTTCTCCCTGCCTGGAATGCAGAGGTGGGAGGAGCTGCAGCCGTGGGGACAAATGCCACAGGCCACAGATGGTAGACGCCGTGGAGGCGCTACACCACCCTGGACGGTCTGCCTCTACACTCGCTCGTGGGCAGGTACATGAGCACAGCCATCCCCAACTAGGCTAGGCCGGCGTTTGCGGCGAGTCTGTTCCTCACAGCCAATCAGGATGCTGATCCAGAAGGCAACTGAAGCAATGACCAGCGGGAAACTGCCCAGACTAGCAGAGATTCAGAAGGAGGGTGGGGCAGAGGTTTCGGGCTCTGAGTGTTTAAAGGCTGGGAGAAGAGGTTGAGCCTGCAGGAGAAACCGAGGTGAGACAGCCAGAGATGGAGGCATGGGGAGGGGAACTCACCAAAGTGGGCCACACCTTGGCCTCTAAGCTTTCCAGCAGGCAGTGGGGAAAAGGAGATACCAAACATTTACATGGCCAGATGCAGGGGCGAGGGGCGGGAGAGGGGCGGGGTAACCCTGGGATGGGGCCAGAGGAGCATTTCTCCTCAGGGTCCTTGCACAGTGGACGATTTGTCACTTGGTCCAAACGTCCCCAGCAACAGGCATCCTAACAACCGAGCCGTGAGCTCCACGGGGTCGTCTCAGATTTTATCCAGCATGTGACCCCAGCCCCCACGTCCAGCTTGGTTGAGGATATATTTTAGGCCATCAGGAGGAGTGGATGAGCTGTGTGTCTCTTTCCAGGATCTCTCCCTGAATAGTATTCGTCTCACCTGAGCTTTTAAACATCAGGTGGCCGTTTGAGTCCGACCCTGCCCTTTTGGCCTAGTGTTGAGGGGCAGGGCTTCCCCTCTCCAGAACATACAGACTCAGCACACTGCAGCTGACCTCCTCTCATGAAATCACGCCGCCTAAAAACAGAGTCTTTAAATGCCCGACAAAGGAAACACTTGGTTCATCTGAGCAAAGGCAGGAATTCCTCAGGAAGAAAGGAAGAGACAGAGACAGACGGGTTCCAGCTGGGTATTTAAGTGACTTCTTATAATGCAATCTATAAACTGAGTCCAGAGTGCTGGGCTGTGTTGATGAGGAGGACACCCTCGGGACGCTGTGTGGCCTGGTTTCCTGTGATGAGCCCCACTTCTCCCGCAGGCCCCTCCTCATTAAGGGAGGTCCGGGGAGCAATCGAGGCAGGGGCATCTGTTGCTTCACTGGCCCTCACACCCAGTCTCTGAGCTGCCCAGGGGGCTCTGGTCTCCCTGCGGCCACAGCCTCAGGACAACCCAAGAGCTGAGTGGTCCAGGGGCCCCAGGGAAGCAGAGAAGGTTCTTGAGGTCACGGAGTGGTAGTAGGGGACACATGGATGTCAACGGCCTGGAAATGAACCTTTTTTCTTTGCAGTTGAGGGAACTGACTTTAGAGAGAACTTGGCCGGGGTCAGGCTGTGAGAAGCAACTGGGGGGTCCTCATTCATCCTGTCTCCCCAGCTTTGTGGGCGCCACGTTCTTGCCCGCACTGGGAAGGCACATTCTCCGGCACCTCCTCACAGAATCTCACTTTTCCTAGCACAACAATGGGAGGTCCCTGGGTTATTGCAACCCTACTCTTGCCCCTGTGGATGGCCAGGATTAGGCGCTCTCGGAACAATCAGAGTGAGAAGGTGCTTTGGGACTTGTAAAGCTTTGCGTGACGAAGGTCCGCTGGGCACCCATAAGGCACTGCAAGGCAGGCTATCCCAGGACTTGGTCTCTCTCTGTAGCATTTAGGGTTACACGTGAGGTCAGCAGGTGCTATTGTACCTGAGGTCAGAGCTCCTCCAACGGAGCCATGAGAACAACCAGCCAAGGTGCGTTTCTGCAAAATGTGGTGAGGGCAATGGGGACGCTCATGGAGACAGGGATGCCGGGGTGGACCCTTGCACCCTCTTCCACCGCTCCGGGAAAGGGCCCTTTCCACAGCTGCTTGAGTGTTAGGAGGGAGATTAGCAGGGCCAACCGTTCAGATGCAGCCTGGGGGAGGGCAAAGGGACAGGTGACAAACGAGGTGTGTCTTTGAAAGGATGGAGGCGGACTGGACAGGGAAGGAAAGTGAGGAGTAGGGAGAGACGCGACTCTGGGTATCCGAGTGTCAGAGTCGGAAGGGCCCTCTGGTCCAGACCGTCATTTTAGATGGGGACACTAAGGCCCAAGAGGGGAAAGGACTCCCTCAAAGTCACACGGCTGGTCAGTAGCAGAGGGAGGATCTGAACCCCACTTTCAAACATGACAGGATTTTCATCTTGAAATGCCTTCCCACTTTTCCATCTTCCCTAATCCTGTATCTGAAGCCTGAATATGGCCAGTGTGACCTGTGAGGTCCCTCCTTCTCCACTGTGGAGGACCAGGTGACCCGGCACAGCATTATCAGCCTCTCAGAGGAGAGTCGCCTCGCAGGGCCCTCCGATGGGCCACCTCTCAGGGAAGGAACGGACGCCGGAGCTGTCAAGTTGCAATAAAGGAAGGGCAGGAAGGAGGGAGAGGCCAGAAGGCCTGGAGGGATGCCCTGGGAAGGGGGAGGTGTGGGTATCCAGAGGAAGAGGAAGGAAGGGGTGGACCAGACACACACTTGGGACCCGTCAGGTGGGCAGGGACCAGCCCTCCTGTAAGGACTATTAGTGAAACTATAACCGAGCTTTTCCAAAGACAGCTGGGAAAATAAAACCCGAAGAAGCACCTGTGGGCCAGGGAGAGGCCCCTCCCCTGGAGGAACAAGCTGCAAGAAGCCTGCTGCCAGGGTGACTGGTATTACACGTTTGTTTGAGGACTCGGACTGACCCCAGGGCGTTCAGCACCCACCCAACTCAATGCCTGCAGATGGTTCTTCCTCCCAGTGCAGCTCAGCTCCACAAGGCCATGGCCAATGTGACCAATGCCTGGGCAGCAGGTTACACCCACACCCACCCAGCGCAATCCAGGGCAGGGGTGACCGACCGCAGACTGTGTGAGGTAGAAGGAGCATTTTCCAGCCTCATGCCTGTCTCCATCAAAAGCTGGAACTCCTTCTGGCTGTGGTTGCTCGGTCTCAGCCTGAGCTCCTCCCCAGGTGGTGGCCACTCCGACCCTGGAGGGTGCTGACCAAGGTCTTCCTTGGACACAGACAAAATCTAACCCCCTGTATTTCCTACCAATTTGTCCTCATTTTGTCCTTTGAAACCACATAGGACAAAGTCTCCTCCCTCGTCCTTGTGTCACCCCTTTAACTGGTTCAACACTGTAACCAGCAACCCTGAATCCTCTCTTTTTCAGGCTGGACACCCCTGGGTGTTTTATCCAGTTTCCATGTGGCTGGGTTCTAGTTCTTCGCCCCAGCACCTCTCTTTCTGCCCTCTACCCTAGTTATTTTCTACTAAACTCTCTCCGCTTGCTTAATGGTGGCTCCCAGGATTGAACAGAACATTTGAGTTGAAGGCAGTATTTTATTTTATTATCGTTATTTTTTTTTGAGATGGAGTCTCACTATGTTGCTCAGGCTGGAGCGTAGCGGCGTGATCTTGGCTCACTGCAACCCCTGCCTCCTGCGTTCAAGCGATTCTCCTGCCTCATCCTCCTGAGTAGCTGGGACCACAGGCGTGCGCCACCACACCCGGCTAATTTTTGTATTTTTAGTAGAGACGAGGTTTCACCATGTTGGCCAGGCTGGTCTCAAACTCCTGACCTCAGGTGATCCACCCACCTCGGCCTCCCAAAGTGCTGGGATTACAGGCGTGAGCCACTGCACCTGGCCAAGGCAGTGTTTTAAATCTTCCCAGCTCTAGGGACCTAAGAAGGTGGCTTCTCTCCATGCCCCTTCTCCTTCCTGTTAGCCCGTGTCTTGTAGCCCGTGTCTTGACTCCCTGGCCCAAGCTTCAAGGACCCTGACAGGAAAGCCACACTTGCTCAGAGACAAAAAATTATGAACACCTGTGGCTCATAATAATTAAATATGTGAGACAAATCCTGATTTTCGAAAACCTTTATAATAAGAAAGATGAATACTGAGCTCTCCGAAGAGTAGTGGGGTCCAAAGGGGGATGCTCCGCAGTACCACAGCAGGTGTTGAAGGGGCCGTGGGCCGGGTTGTTGTCTGGGTGCCGGCTCCTGTATGACATGTTGGCCCCGTTGGGAGAGCGTTCACCCCGAGCACCTCCTCCATGCCCAGTTCTGTGCCAGCACCACGGGAGAAAGACTAATTAATACACAGCTCTTACCCCAGGGAACCCAGTTAGGAAATCAGCGCATAGAGAATTACAGTGGAATGTGCTAGAGGCGGTGATGGAGACACCAAAATCTCAAAGGTTCATTTCCTATTGTGGCCGAAATGAGGGATCATAAACCTGAAACAGATGTCACCGGGCTAACGTCCAGGTGTCAGCAGGGCTGCATTCCTGCCGGCGCCTCTCAGGGTGAACACTTTCCTTGCCTTTTCCAGCTTCTGGAATCTGCACACTCCTTAGCTTACAGGCCTCTTTCTCTTTCCTCACAGCCAGCAGCGTCCCATCTTCAAATCCGACTCTACCCTCCCGCCTCCTTCTGTCCCTTATCTAGGATCAGCTTCTGTCTCAAGATCCTTAACCTAATCACTCCTAACAAAGCCTCTTTTGCCATCTGAGGTAACATATTCACAGGTTCTCTGAGATTCGGAAGGGGACATTTTGGGGGCCATTATTCTGCTCACCCAGGGAACAGCTAACTCTGCCTGTGGGAATGACCACATTTGAAAGGATCCTTTAAAGGCTTTGCAGGAGGTTTCTGCAGAAACAAAAAGGAAAAGGAGATTTATAAAGAAGAATACACTTGCCCAAAGCATCAAGACAAGAAAACAGGGCTTGCGTTTTTGGTTTTGTTTTTTGTTTGGTTTTTTTTTTTTTTGATTGTTTGCTTTTCTTTGTTTACTTTTCCACAAAGAGCCGGCATCTCCCTCATTGCCTCTAGTGCTGAGAGGCTCACGACTTTTCTCGAAACCCATCTTCTCTTTTCAGTCCTGTTGACAGCTCTGAACTGAGGATCTTCCTTAAATGGAGCCCTGATGTTTTCATAATCAGTGGAAATGTTGGTAAACCTCACAGTGCCCAGGAGCGACTTTAGCTGGACACAGTAAAGCACGTGCAGTGGGAGGATCATGGTGTGCTGCACACATGGTCTGCTGTATCCAAGAGGTTCTCAGAGGCTCATCCTTGGATAGACTGTGTTCTTCTTAAAGGCACCTGGGCAGGTGGCCGGGCCAATGACTTAGCAGAGCAATACCATTCTCAAAGCTGGGTGGTCTGTGGAATTTCACTGACGTCTCTACTCCTTCGCTACAAATCAACTAAAAATAATTTGAACTGCGAATGAATTTGAACATGAGCTTGAAGCGACAAAAACCTTAGAAACACCGACAGTTTCCATTTCTCTTTTGATGTCACTGGGAACATCAACTGCTAGGGGCTTAGAGCTGAGGAGAAGGCCCAACCCTCTGCCTTCTTGCTGAGAGCAAGCTGGGGTGCTGGCCCGCCTCAGATGGGCCCTGCAGTGGAGGTCAGGTAGAGAGGGTAGGAGCCCTGGGCTGTGGGGCCTGTGAGGGGAGCTCGCCTGGAAGGCCTCCCGCACCCCTGCTACCTCTCTGCGTCTCTGTTAACCTCCTCATTCCGGGGTGTCCTTTGTGCTGGGCAGGAGTGTTCTAGGTTCTGCTCTGGGGAGTAGCAACGGGGCAGACCCCTGCCTTCCTGGTGGACCAGTGCCAGGAAAGCCTCCCTGCTCGGACGCACCTCCAGTTTACAATGAACTTTTACATGTATTGCCTTCTTTGGTCCTCAGAACACGCTGGTGTGAATGGGGAAACTGAGTCAGTGGAAGAGCTGAGACCAATTCTGCAGTTCCCAGCATACAAGGATGCCTCCTGTGGGCCCTGGATGGTCCCTGTTGGGTCCGGGCTGGGCCTGCAGTGACTGAGAGTCATGGCTTGCACCTGCATTTCTATCTCCTTTCTCTCACTTCCTTCTGTCCCATCTATGTCTCTCTCCACCCATTTTTCTCCCATATTCCTCTCTATTCTCACTGCTTTTCTCTGTCTCGTCATCCAAGACCTCCAAAAATAATGCTTAACTCTCAGGGAGCCCTCACTAGGCTTAAAGGACTAGAAGCCCTGTGAGGTCGTGATGGTCTATGACCATGAACATGAGTGTCCTCCTGGCACTCGCATCCCCCTGACCAGCAGGACCTGGGTTGGGCAGCTGATCCAGTCCATGCCAGGAGAAACAGTGGGCAGTGAGGGCAGGGGTGAGGAGCTCTAGGCCAGAAGGCAGAAGACGAGCTCATGTGACAGCTCTGCCAGTCATAACCTCAGATGTGTCACTGCCCCTTCGTGGACCTCAGTGCTGTCATCTGTAAAGTGAAATAATAATGCCAACTCCCCCGGGGGTTGGAAGAGTTAAGAAAACTGACTTCGTGATGCCAGGTATGTATTAGATGTTTAACAAAGGTTCACGGCTGGGTGTGGTGGCTCACACCTGTAATCCTGGCACTTTGGGAGGCCCAGGTGGGCAGATTTCTTGAGCCCAGAAGTTTGAGACCAGCCTGAGCAACATGGGGAGACCCCATTTCTACAAAAAATAAAAATATAGCTGCATGTAGTGGTACACGCCTGTATTCCTAGCTACTCCGGAGCCTCAGGTGGGAAAGTGTTTGAGCCCAGGAGGTTGAGTCTGTAGTGAGATGTGATCACGCCACTGCACTCCAGCCTGGGTAGTAGAGCCTTGTCTCGAAAAATAAAAACAGCTGGCTCTAGTGGCTCACACCTATAATCCCAGCACTTTGAGAGGCCGAGCCGGGCAGATCACTTGAGGCCGGGAGTTCGAGACCAGCCTGGCCAACATAGCAAAATCCCATCTCTACTAAAAATACAAAAATTAGCCGGGCATGGTGGCCCATACCTGTAGTCCCAGCTACTCGGGAGGTTGAGGTATAAGAACCACCTGAAGCCAAGAGGCGGAGGTTGGGCAACAGAGTGGGACCCTGGGCAATAGAGTGGGACCCTGTCTAAAATAAAATAAAATAAAATAAAATAAAATAATAATAAAAGTAAAAATAGGCTGGGTGTGGTGGTTCACACCCACTTTGGGAGGCTGAGGTGGACAGATCACAAGGTCAAGAGATCGAGACCATCTTGGCCATCATGGCAAAACCCCGTCTCCACTAAAAACACAAAAATTAGCCAGGTGTGGTGGTGGGCGCCTATAGTCCCAGCTACTCCAGAGGCTGAGGCAGGAGAATCGCTTGAACCCGGGAGGTGGAGGTTGCAGTGAGGGGAGATCGCGCCACTGCACTCCAGTCTGGTGACAGAGTGAGACTCTGTCTCAAAAAAATAAAAAAATAATCTAATAAAAACAAAGGTTTCATTGAGTATGGCAGCAGCTGAAACAGAGCCTCCCCGACCCCAGAGATTGGACTTGGAAAGATCTATGCTGGGGTCATCGAAGTCAGGGAGCACCTGGAAGCGTTGACAGAGCGGTGGAAGGCAGGCGGGTGTCACGGCAAATGCTGCTCATTGTTTTCTTCCTCTAGGCCTCAGCCTCCAGTACTCTGGACCCACCCACTGAACTCAATGTTTGTCTCTTTACGATGTTGATGGAATCATCCTGTAACATTCCAGCTGTCTAATGAGGGTGTGCACAGCTACTGGGCAGTGAGTCCTGGCATCTCCCTGCCTTTGGCACGCCCTGTAGTGATGGTGATGGTTTAAAAGCTGGGAAGGCCAGATTGACTTCTCCCAAAACAGACTCGGTCACTTCCGATGTCACCAGAGATTCAAAGCCCAACTTTTGCGATGTTCTCAGAAAGTGAAGTCAATTACAGCATGCGGTGGGGGAGAGGGAGGAGACAGAGTGGTGAGGAACCCAGGGCAATGAGGACCCAACTCTACCCAGGAGAAGTCAAGGAAACTTCTAGAGCTGGAAACTCGGAGAACAGAAATAGTTGGACTTTCAGTTAAAAACAAACAAACTGATGAAACCCAGTTAGCTCTTCTCCCTCCAAAGACCTCGCTTAGATGGCAGTAAAAGAAATCGAAATGGTATTAGCCTACAATGTCACAGGGAAAGGGAGAGGATCCGCAATGGACTGGAGAGTTCAGCAAGTTTACGGAACAGAGCAGTTAAGGTGTGATAGATGAGGAAGAGAAAAGCCACAGCCAGTGTGAGCAGAGAGATCCCGTCTGCCCAACGGAACCCCAGAGAGGCGTGAAGATGGATTATACCAGGTACAATGTAGAAAAGGCGTGATCTGTGGGAATAAAAGCCAGGGAGTTACTTAAAAGCTATTATAGTATAAGGAACAGTTGTGTCTGCTCCCATCCTTAGGAAAACAAACAAACAAAAAGTTAATGAAAGAAATTGCAAGATCCTAGAGAAATAACCCTCCACAAACATTCCGGCTTGTAGAGGTTCCCAGTGTAACACTCAGCTTGCTCCCCTATACCCTAAAATGAAATTGATAACCCCTGCCAGTGTGCACAATGATCCCAAAGTCAGTTGTTTTTATTGCCTTACTTTAAAAATATGAACCAACAACCAAGGGTTTAAGAGAAGCAAGCAAGCAAACAACAACAACAAAATGAAATACCAGAGAAAAAATATATAGTTTAGAAAGTAAAGTGGAACTTTGAAAACTCAAAAATCTTAAAATCTAGTATTCTAAAACAAAAACAGAAACTGCATCCATAAGACAAGAATAAGAGTCTATTTTAAAAAATTAACAGTGATTGCAGAAATTAAAAATACAATTGCAGAAATTAACATTTTTACGTAAGTGTTGGAAGGAATTGAGGAGTCTCTCAAGAGGTAGTAAAAGAAGGTAGAAAAAAGAGACTAAAAAGATGAAGAAAAGAAAAAGCAAAAAAAGATGAAAGGAGAGGACAAAGGAATTATCCAAAAAAAGTATAATAGAATCTCACAGAACTTAAAAGACATGAGTCTCCGGAGGAACCTGCAAATACCCCTTTGTGTGAATGAAATAAAGAGCAATGTATGGCAAACATCAAATCAAAATCAGAACAGAGGACATAGAGAAGATCCTAAGGATGTCTGCCAAGAAAAAGAGCGGTCCCCTGTTAACAATGGCAACAAATCCCCACCAGCACCTTTGGTGCAAGACGATCATCTGAATTTAGAATTCTTTTACCAGCTAAACTAGCCATCAAGCACGAGAGAATAAAGAGTATAGAAATTTGCTGGCAAGGACTCAGGAAAGGGGATATCCTTTGGATCCCTTTTCCTAAGTAGTTATAAAAATGAGGGAGTAGATGAGAAAGAAGACACGGAATTTGGGAAATTGTGGAAGCAACCAAGGAAAGCTGAAGATCAGTTCTAGGAAACAGCTGGGTAGGTGGCCGGAGTAATTTCTAGAAATGCTAGAAAAATGAAGGAAGTGCTAGAAAGGAAACGTAATGACAGTGGACTATTTGGCACTATAGTAAATAATACTTACAAAGAAAACGTATGAAGTCTTTTTTATTCATTTTCAAGTTTTTCAACAATCACCAAAATTTTAGCTATAAGAGAATACAAAAGTGATCAGTCTTGACTGAAGCTGGGAGGTGGAAGAGATAGACAAGCATGGGACAATAGGAACATAGGTGTCAGCGCATAGAGCAAGGCACTCATGGACACTGTCTGCAGTTGCTGGAACGAGAAAAAGGTGAACTTTAAAGTTACAAATGTAATCACTGGAAGAACTACATATAGTGCCAGAACTTTTAAGTTAAATCACACGAAACTTGTTTTTTGTTGTTTTTTGAGACAAGAGTCTCGCTCTGTCGCCCAGGCTGGAGTGCAGTGGTGCGATCTCGGCTCACTGCAACCTCCACGTCCTGGGTTCAAGCAATTCTCCTGCCTCAGCCTCCTGAGTAGCTGGGACTACAGGTGTGCACCACCACGCCCAGCTAATTTTTTGCATTTTTAGTAGAGACAGGGTTTCACCATGCTGGCCTGGATGGTCTCGAACTTCTGAGGGATCCACCTGCCTCGGCTTTCCAAGAAACTTGTTTTTTAGGTCAAAAATGGTTGAACATCAAAAATTTAATATAGTTCAATCTAACATATGAGTAGAAATGTATAATATCAGTAAATTAAACTATAAAACATTTTAAATCAAATCTTATTTTTTAATTTACTGAGAGATGGAGTCTCACTCTGCCACCCAGGTTGGAGTACAGTGGCATGATCATGGCTCACTGCAGCCTCAACATCCCGGGCTCAAACAATCCTCCTGCCTCAGTCTCCCAAGTGGCTGGGACTACAGGAGCACACCACTGTGCCCAGCTAATTTTGTATGTTTTGTAGAGCTGGGGATATCGCTATGTTGAGCAGGCTGGTCTCAAACTCCTGGGCTCAAGCAATCCACCCGCCTTGGCCTCCCAAAGTTCTGGGATGACAAGCGTGAGCGACTATGCCTGGCCTGGACTGGCACTTTAGACATCCTCAGGGAATATGAAGCTTCAGCAAAGCTCAGGTTATATTCTTACCAAAAGCATTAACTTATTTCTGTGTTTTATACAGCAGGTCCCTTCACTCTTTAGAGAGTAGTAAATCTAGCTTCTGTGTACAACTTATCTAAAGATTTCATCTTTTTACCGCACATTTGGGAGAAATTTCATGGATATATGTTGTTCGTTTTCTTATGCCTTCTAGCTCAAGCGACATAGAGATCAATGTTAATTTTTTCTCTTTTAGATCTTATATTAAAAAGAAAAACAAAAAACCCACAATTCTTTGAAGAATGAAAGAGGGAAGCCAGCTGCCATGTCATGAGGACACTCAAGCATCCCTAAAGGGGTCCATATGGCAAGGACCCAAGGCTGCCTGCCGTGAGCCAGCAAGGAACTGCCAACAGTGTGAGCAGGATATATTGGAAGCAAATCCTCCAGCCACAGTCACGATGATTATAGCCCCAGCCAACATTTTGATGGCAACCTCATGACAGACCCTGAGCCACAGCCACTCAACTACTCCCAAATTCTTGACCCTCAGAAGCTGTGACATAATATATGTTACTGTTTTAAACCACCAAGATCTGGGGTATTGGTTATACCAACAATAAATACCGAATACACGCATACAATAAAACCAGGCCACGATGGTTTTCCAGGGGATTCTACAACACGTTCAAGGAAAAGATGATCCCAGTTTTTATGGACCATTCCAGAGAGAATGTCCCCACCCACTTTATGAGGCTGTATAACCTGATACCAAAACCAGTCAAGGATATTATTTTCAATGTATAAGCAAATCTCACTAATGAGCAGATAGTAAAAGTTCTAAACAAAACAGCAAGCTGAATTCAGCAATATATTTTAAAGACACACAGCGCGGCTTGGTTTACTTCGGGAATGCAAGAATGAATTTACTTTTCAAAAATCTATAAATTTATTCACCATTTTAACACAGTGAAGGAGAAAAACGATATGAGCACCTCAATAGTTAAGATAAAAATGGATAAAATCTAACTTTACTGATTTTAAAATATACTTAGCAAACTCAGGCCAGAAATGTCACATTTATTGATAAAACATTAGATACCTACCCTTTGCAACCGAGATGGTTCTAAGGATGCTCACTGTCCTGCTCAACATTATAGTGGAGGTTTTAGCCAGTGCAGGAAGATATTTTAAAATAGAAAAATAAATCAATAATGGGTATAAGGTTTTAATAGGAAGAAGCAAATTATCAGAATTATTGCTAGACATAAGATAATTATGGAAAATTAAATTACATTCCTATATATTGGCAATAAAAATGAGAAAATACAATTTTTTTGTTATTTTTTCTTTAGAAAATATAACTTCTTAAAAAGATACCATCTACAATAGCAATGACAAATCAAAAAAGAGGAAGGATACTTAGGAATAAATCTAACAAAATCAGTGCAAGGTTTCTTTTATATATATATGTGTGTGTGTGTGTATATATATACACACACACACTTTAAGTTCTAGGGTACACGTGCACAATGTGCAGGTTTGTTACATATGTACACATGTGCCATGTTGGTTTGCTACACCTATCAACTGGTCATTTACATTAGGTATTTCTCCTGATGCTATCCCTCCCCCATCCCCCACCCCCTGACAGGCTGCGATGTGTGATGTTCCCTGCCCTGTGTCTGAGTGTTCTCATTGTTCAACTCCCGACTGTGAGTGAGAACATGCAGTGTTTGGTTTTCTGTCCTCGTCATGAATGTTTTATAAAAAACATTCTAAAACATCACTGAAAGATTTAAAATGACGTAAATAAATGGGAAGATGAAACATGCTTACTGGCAGGAACACTAGGTATTATAAAAAATACAAATTCTTACCCCAAATTGTTTTAAATTTACTGCAATTTTTTTTCTTTTTTTTTTTTTTTCTTTTTTTTCTTTTCTTTTTTTTTTGAGATGAGTGCTGCTCTATCTCTCCAAGGCTAGAGGTGCAGTGGCACGATCTCCTGGCATGCAACCTGCACTCACCCCCCCCCGGTTCAGAGTTGATTCTCCTGCCTTCAGTGTCCCCGAATAGCTGGATATCAGCTCACCTGCCACTGCACCCGGCTAATTTTTTTATTTTTAGTAGAGACAGGGTTTCACCATCTTGGCCAGGCTGGTCTCGAACTCCTGACCTCGTGATCCACCCGCCTCGGCCTCCCAAAGGGCTGGGATTACAGGGGTGAGACACCACACCCAGCTAATTTACTGCAATTTCTATTAAAATTCTCGATGGAGTTGACATGCTGACTTTTTTTTACTCATAGAATTGCAAAGAGCCAAGAATAGAAGAACAATCAGGTGGAGAGATTTTTTTTTACCAAAAATGATTGAAGCTCCAATAATGAAGATGGTGAGTATGCTATGGGACTAGACAGACAGACCAATGGAGAACCCAGAAACCAACTCCCACATCTGCAGAGCCCAGAAATTTTTTTCAGGATCCAGCTTTCCTGCTCCACATCCACTGGGTGGTGTTGGAGGAGCCCCTGCTCTGGCCTGTGAACACAGAGCCTGGCCACACGGGGCCGAGGCCATCCGCAGGGGAGGACAGATCGATTTGAGTGTAACCTCCAGTATGAGAAAGTTTGGACTTCTTTCTACACAGAGATTTTTTTCGACTCCAAGCTCTTCTTTAGAAATCATGATGCTAATAATAATTGCTCATCCTTTTTTTTTAATAGCTAGCATTCATGAACATGTATTGTCTGCAGGCCACTGGGCCCAGTCATTTTTTTGTTTATTGCCTTTAATTCTCACAAAAACTCTACGAAGCAGGTGCTGTGTTATCCCTTTTTAAGGTTGAGGAAACCAAGGCTTAGAGAGTGTAAGCAGGTGTCTTACCCAAAGTCCCATGCAGTTAGTAAGTGGTAGAGCTGGGATTTGAACCCGTAGCTGTCACCTTGCCAGCTTTTTTTTTAACCACTGCCTCTCACAAGCACAGACATCCAATTAAAGCAACAAAGGTTTTACAGCTTTCAGTTGGAGGAACAAATGAGACTGTGACAGCAGCTGAACTAGAATCAAGCTTTTTTTTTCGTGTATGAATACCAGTCACATGTTAGCTGCTCCATAAAAGCTTGTAAAATGATTTTTTTGAGTTCCAGGAAATGAAAATCAATCCAGTTTCAAAATGACATGTTGCATGGATTTTTTTTAAGTAGAAACTCACAGGAGGCTCAGGAAACACGCTGGACATACACTGGGCACCTGGAGGGAAGGCTCTGTGTTTTCTTCCTCTCTCAGCCTCACAGAAGTCGCCTATCCTGACAATGCTCATGCACGAATGCAGTCCAGTGCTCTCCCAAGTAGCCCATAGGTCAGAGAGACATTTTTTTAGAAAAATGGGGCAAGGGAAAAAATGGCAAGAGCTCTACTTGTCAAATAAAAGTCGATAAAGAGGGCCAGGTGTGGTGGCTCACACCTGTAATCCCAGCACTTTGGGAGGCCATTTTTTTCAGATCACTTGTGGCCAGGAGTTCAGACCAGGTCAGCCAGGCCAATATGACGAAGCCCTGTCTCTACTTAAAACAATACAAAAATTAGCCGGGTGTGGTGGGACACACCTGTAATTCCAGCTACTCAGAAAGCTGAGGCATGAGAATCACTTGAACCTGGGAGGCGGAGGCTGTTTTTTTCCGAGACTGACCACTGCACTCCAGCCTGGGCGACACAGCTAGACTCTGTCTCATTTTTTTAAAAAAAAAAAAATAGAGCAACAGCCTATCCTTTCCCTCCAGGAAAAGCCATCTTTTTTTGGATGGCATGTGTTCCTTTATCCACGCATGGATTTCACAAACATTTACCGGCTTTTTTTTCGCAGGAGACAGGCCCCGGCCTGAAGTTGTCCCCTTACTCAGTAGACACCGAATTTTTTTCTCTCTCCACCAGACGCCAAGCCCGGCACAGCCGGGCAAGGATGGGCCCAACATTTTTTTAGTGGGAGGGAGCTGGGGAAGGCAGACAACCACAGGTTACAAATGTAAAGCTTTTTTTTTAGGAGGGCGGGGTAGGGGAGGGGCGGACAGAGAGGAGGGATTGCGGACCGTGATTTTTTTGAGCACCGAGCGGAGAGGGGGAGGAGGAGGGAAAGGAAGGCGTGGCAGTGGGATTTTTTTGGAAGAAGGAAGAGTGGGGAGGGGAGGGAGAGCCAGCCAGCAGCAGCCCGTCTTTTTTTTCCTCCGAGCCACATCTGGTCACGTTCTAAATAATTAGAAGATTTTCCCATTGATTTTTTTAAGAGCTCTCTCTCTGATTAATTTTCGAAAGAGCTGGCCAATTTTAATCATAGCAAACACGATGATCACGGTGATCAAGGCCTGAACAGCCAAAAGCAGAAAATAAAACCCCCTTTTTTTGCCATGATCTTGATATTCGCCCGTGGCCACGGGCTGGGCCCACACCCAGGGTTCTGAGCTGTTGGGAGCCAAGGCTGGATGGACCGGGGCTTCCGAGGAGCTGTCCGCAGCGGTTTTTTTAGGCGGGCCCCGGGGGCCCGGGCACTCTGCGTCACCCCCCGGCAGGGCCCAGATTTTTTTGCCGGCGAGCTTCCCAGGGCCTGCGCACCGCGGGGGCTCTTCCAGGCCCGCGATTTTTTTGTGCTGCCGCAGCCACCCCAGGAAGGGCCCCAGGCCACAGTCGCAGCGCCAGGGGTTGTGCCCCAACAGGACCTCCTTCAGCCGGGGCAGAGCCCCAAACGCGTCGCCAGGCATTTTTTTCAACTGGTTGTGGTCGAGCTGGACGCTCTCCAGGCTGCTGAGATTGCGGAAGATTTTTTTGGGCAGGGCGCGCAGCCTGTTGCGGCGCAGGGACACCTGGCGCAGCCTGCCGAGGCCCCGCAGCAAGCCGTCGGGGAGGGCGGTCAGGCCGTTGGAGTGCAGGGAGAGCACTCTTTTTTTGCCCAGGCCCTGGAAGGCGCCCTGCGGGAGCGCGCTCAGCCGCGGGCTCAGAGTCACCCCTAAGGACCGCAGGCGGCTCAGGTTTCGGAAGGCGGCAGCGGGCAGGGTGCGCATTTTTTTGCGGTTCAGCCACAGTTCCTGCAGGCCCCCCATCTCCCCGAAGAGCACCCCCGGGAGCTCTGCCAGCGGGTTCTCGAACAGAGTCAACTGAGTCAAACTGTGCGAATGAAGAATTTTTTTAGAGGGGAGAAACGCAAGGTGGTTTCTCGAAAGAGTCAAAGAACTCAGGTTTGTTTTTTTGTCGAAGGCCCCGGGTGTGATGGAACGGATGTGATTGCGGTGGAGCTGCAGTTCCGTCAGGGCGCCCAGGCTGTTCAATAGCCCCGAATCCAGAGACACAAGCCGGTTCGAGTGGAGCAGAAGCCTCTGGAGCTTAGCCTGTGCTCCAAGCAATCCCTTGGGCAGGTGGGTCATTTTTTTTCCCGATAAATCCAACAACTTCAGGTTCCCCAGATTCGTGAAGAGACCGGCAGTTTTTTTATCGAGCTGATTCTGGTTCAGAGCGAGCTCCTGCAGGTTAACCAGTTTCTGAAACATGTTTTGGTCAATGCCCCTCAGCGCATTGTGGTCCAAAAACAGCTGCTCCAGGAGCCCCGTCTTATCCAGCAGCGCACCTGGAAGATGAGTGATTTTGTTGCGCGACAGCCTGAGGGTTTTTTTTTTTACCAGGTCATTGAAGGCGCCGGGGGCAACGGCGGCAATGTGGCTGTCGGAGAGCATGAGGCGCTGCAGGACGGTCATGCCACTGAAGCTGTGGTTCTGCAAGACGCCGCGGCCCATTCCGAAGAGCAGGATGTGCGTGAGGTTGGTGGGCAGACCCAGCGCGGCGATGCTTTTTTTGTCGCCCCCCGAGCACTGCGCGGCGTCCCGGAAGACACACTTGCAGGCCGGCGGACAGGGGAAGGGCTGGGCGCGCAGAAGCCCGAGCACCGCGCACAGCAGAGTCCTCCTCAGCATGTCTGAAAAAGCAACAGTGGGAATGTGGTCAACACATGGGCGCGTTCGCGACTGTTTTTTTTTCCGGGATCCTGCACTTTGTGCAGAGGCACAATCCTTTCACCAGAATTCTCACTTTTTTTTTTCTTAGGACTACAGATTTCCCTACGTAGGTGAAAAGACATTCATTCTACACATTTTTTTGTCTCATTCTTTCGCTTTATTGATTTTCTACTCTGTTTAAAGCATTGAGATTAAAGGGTTTTCAAGCTACCGAATAGCCAATACTTTAAAATCCTTACATAGAGAATTAATTAAAATAGTCATTCCCACATGCAAGCTCACAGACATCACAAAGCAGTGTCCATTGTGAAAACGGCTCTGCTCTTGACTTTGTAACTTACCCTGCATTGGCTAAAACCAACAGTCAAGAAGGGTTTTTTTAAGTCTGCAGCCACCACCATCTGATTCTTTTGCTCACAATCTTGCTATTTCCATTTTTTTAAGTTACTCTATTAAAACAAAGGACACCCCCAAAACAGCGAACACCTTCAGTCTTTTTTTAACAAAAGCCTATAATAATGCCTATCACTTTACGCCATGCATTGTTCTCAGCGTTTTTTTTATACTATATGCATTTAATCCTTACAATAACCTTAGGAGGTAAGTAAATTATCTTTTTTTCAAGGATGAAGGCACAAGGCACAGAAAGGTTCAATAGTATAACTAGGGTCATATAGAATTCGGGGGCGGTATTTCTGACTTAGCCATAAGTATAAACAGCTGCTATATCTAAGATGCTTAAAGGTAATACTCATGGCACTGAATTTTCTGTGAAATGCACACCATACTACTAATCTGCCGAAACAATGTTTCCCAAGTGAACTTTTCCATAAATTGCTTCTTGTGCAATTTTATTTTTTTTGCACACACAGACTTATGGAACCCTCTAATTTCCTATACTAATGTTTAAAATATTTTTTTTTACCTGAAATGGTTCTGCACTCCAAAGCAACTGAAAGACTTAGCGCTTTGCATGTGATTCGACACTTTCCAAAGGAAGGGGGTGGTACCCTTGCATCCTGAGGATAAAGACTTTTTTTTAATAGGTCAGGAAAGGACCCTATCTCAGAGCCCATGTTCTGGTTTTTAATGACAAATATCTTCAAACTGAGAGACCATATATAACGCGATTCCTACTGTCAAAGCCAAGAGCATTTTTTTGAGTTTTGCAATAAATGGCACACTATAACTGTGATGCCAGGGAAGTGTAGTGATTTTTTTGGATCACTGCAGTAGCCACACCCCTAGATGGGCCACACTTCCCTTGGGTCTTCTTTTTTTTGCCACATGGCCCTAATTTTCCACCCAGGTTTTTTTTTTTTTTTTAATATGTGTTTTTTTTCTTTCCTCACTTAACAATAAAGCTAAGAACATTCTCCAATGCTCCATTTTTTTTTTTTTTTTTGGGACTAAGGCTGAGAACATCTTTGAACATGTTCAATAGGTGGCAGGGTGCTCACCTGTTCCTTTTTTGGCGGGGAAGGGGGCTCTGTCGCCCAGGCTGGGGTGCAGTGTTTTTTTCTCGGCTCACTGCAACCTCTGGCTCCCGGGTTCAAGCAATTCTCCTGCCTCAGTTTTTTTAGTAGCTGGGATTACAGGCAGACACCACCATGCCCGGCTAATTTTTTGTATTTTTTTTTTGACGGGGTTTCACCATGTTGCCCAGGCTGCTCTTAAAACTCCTGAGCTCAGGTTTTTTTTCCGCCTCGGCCTCCCAAAGTGCTGGGATTACAGGTGTGAACCACCCCGCCCAGTTTTTTTCATGTTCAGTTTAACTTGGGAACATAAGACTGCTCTCCAAAGTGGTTGTATTGTTTTTTTATGCCACCTACCATTTATGAGAATTCCTGTGCTTCCTCTCTGCCCACACTTGGTTTTTTTTAATTTTTGCCATTTCTAAGAAAGATATCGTAGCATGGTTTAACTTTTCCTTTTTTTTTTTAATGATGAACTTGAGCACCTTTGCACATAATTAAGGCCCACTTGCGCTTCATTTGAGAAGGCTGGGTTTCCTTTTGCCCATTTGTCTATAGGCAAAACGTGTCTATGTGTCTTTTTTTTTCTCTGATAACGCTGTCTGCATTAAGACTTCTATCCTTCAAGACACCATAAAATTTTTTTAAAGATAAACCATGAACTAAAGATATTTGTAACACCTATAACTGAGAAAGGCTTTTTTTTAGAATACATAAGGAATGTCTGCATCGTGGGATCCAATCACCCTCTGATGTAGCCAAATACAGTCAGAGCCCAGTACATGCTGGGTTGACGGAAATTACCTTCAAAGTCATGCATTTTTTTACCGCAGGGAAGAACCACTGCCTCTGCCAAGTATTGCAGGTGGTCTTTCAGTTTTTTTTTAGGAACGCAACTCCAGAGCCCAGAGCTGCTACACTGCTGACCTGGTCAGTCTGTCATGCATAGGCATTATCAAGTGAAAGCTCCCCCCCACTGCCCTTGCCCATGAAAATGCCTTTTTTTCAACATGACAGACTGGGAAGGCGAGCTGTGAAACAGAGTAAGATGCCACAGGCTCAAATTCTTGTGGCCCTTCTTTAGCCTATTTCCCCAGGAAAACCTCCAGTCAGAATGGCCTCTACGTTTTGTTCCTTAGGAAGACACTCTGATTGTCCAAGAAGGGAAAAGTAGGTATGTTTTTTTCAGAGAGTGAGGGGAACAGTCTTAGTCCATCCACTGAGCAAGCTGATGAGGTAATGAGAAGTATTTGGAGCAATGAAGTTGACAGCTCCAGTGCTTCCGGTCTCAAGATTCTGTTTTTTTATCAGGTCAGAAGTCTGCTGTCACACAGTGACCTGGCTTAAGGGGCTTGGCTATTTTTTTGCAGGTCTGCCTGGGTGAGATAAGCGCTTTCCTCTGAGGGAGACTCAGTGGGCTTTTTTTAACAGGGAGCAACCGCACCCCAGCTTGGACCACAGACTCACTCAAGCCCCTAGTTTTTTTTGTCCCTTCCTGCAATATACATTCAAAATAGAGCCATTGGCAGCAATACGGGGGAAGGAGAGACATGCAGAACTATGCCCACACCAACAGGCTGTGGGGACAAGATCATACATTTTTTTTAAACCATAGCGACTGCTAAGAACTTGAGGTAACAGCAGGCAGGCCCTCACCCCCCGAATTCATCACACCACAGCCAGCCACATTTCCCTAGCAGAGGCGCCATGTCTCCCGAAGCTGAGCTCCACGGAAACAACTCCCAGCCACAAACAAAGGTCCTGTCTTCTCTGGGATTTTTTTTTTCATTTTCTCTCTCCATGGAATTCGCTTCTGGTTTGATTGTCCCAACTATTAATTTTTTTTAAGTCCCTACTCTTCTATTTCACCATTTCCCTCAGACCTCCTCGCGTTTCACATTTTTTTCTACACTACATCTGACTGAGCAGTTTCCCCAGGATGGTCACACACACGGTATGTTTTTTTGAATGTTATTTCCTTTAAAAAAAAAAAAAAAAAGGAAATGGGGAAGTACTAATTTTTTTTAAAATAAATCCGCAAAGGGCAGTATTCATGTGACTAAAAAGCAAACAAATGTATTTTTTTACAGAAAAAAAGTGTTATTTCATCATTAAAATTTTTATTTTGAATAGCTTCAATTTTTTTAGGTTTCATGAGATTATTTACAGTGCTGAATGTACAATTGTGAATGTAAATTATTTTTTTAAATTATGAATGTACAATGCTGAATGTACAATTGTGAATGTATGCCTTTTTGATTTTTTTGTACCATTCTTGAGCAGCAATACAATTTTAAAAATATAAAGATGCAGTATCATTTCTGATATAAAGTTACTTAAAAAAATCCAAGGTCTTAGGGAATTCACAAATCATAACCAGAAGTAGCTATTTTATTAATTTAATGTACACATAATTACCAAATTTTAATACATTAAAAATGTGTAAATGCCCACAGACTGTACAAAAATTAACACCCCATTTTGCTGAAAGTTCCCAACTTTTTTTCACCATAAATATACAAAAATCTATTTTTAGATATGTCAAAATTGCATGCATGAGTATTTTCTAAAGCTTGAATTTTGCTTTTCACTGGATAATGTTATCTACAGCTGTTTTTGTTTTTTTCTACATAAACACTGACATATTATTTACCATGCCTTTGAAACTGTGCAGGACTTTTTTTTTCATGGGGAACAAAATAAATAGAGTAAAAACTGCAACAGTTTTGTTTAGATGCAAGTGCAATTTGGAAAGCTTTCGAATTTAAGGATTACAAAACTACTATAAAAAGTATTTATTTTTTTTTTGGCTTAGCCACTTTTATTCAAGCATTATTTGCAGCATTGCTTTACAGCAGTTGGTGCTAGAAGATACAAAACATATAGTTACCACTATTTAAACTTGAGGGAGAAAAAAAATTTTTTTCAACCCTGAGGGAGACACACATTAAAAATCTTGTTATTTATTTAAAAAGTTAATTTTTTTCATATCATTATTTAACAATTACTTTCCCAGACATTTCTGTCCTTTAAGTATGTTTTTTTTTAAAATTTAAATCAGCAATATTTATTCATCTTAATACATCAAAATAATATATGTTTTTTTTTTAAAATTTAAGTCTGTATAAACTCAAATAATTTAATATGAAATTCAGAATCTTTTTTTCTATGTAATGGTGACCTACAAGAGAAGACTCAGTCTATCTATGGCACTGAGTATTTTTTTCACCTGGCTTCACAGGCGTTCTTCAAATAACATTCTCAACGTGAATAACCCACCTTGTCTATATTCAAATCTAACTTCCTACAAATGCTTTTCCACCTACCTAAACACCTCATTTTTTTTAAAACAATATGGACAGATGAAATATAAAACCCTTATTAACTCTAAATGTTAAATTTTTTTGGAGGGGGGTGTCAAAAATAGCTCTTTATGATCATGCTCTTAAAGATGTTAAATACAATCTGATAATTGAATTTTTAAGCTGCTACTTAGCAATTACTTTCATTATATGCTTCAGTACTTAAACCAAAGAATAAAATGCACAATTGTGGAAATCACTGAAGAATAACACGAGGTTTTTTTAAATTAATATGGAAATTATAAAATGATCCAGAGAATAAGTAACTATAGAAAATAGTGCTAATTCACAGCTCAAGAGGTCTAAGATGCATAGCTTCATAGAATTATTCATGGAACAATTGTCATCATCTAATGTGTATTAATAGCATATTATACATTTGATGGAAAACTTCGATTATATTTTTGCAGGAATCATCAGTGGCAATAGCAGTAACAGTGATCCTGAGTGTAACTTCTATTTTTCTATAGCTACCAAACATCATCCAGGTCTTTGCAGCATAAAGAGTGAGAACCATTTGGTCCTAAAATTCTAGGTAAAATTTGGTAAATTTGTAAATATATGTTGGGAAAAGAATGATCGCTAGAAGTAGAAAGCACGAGCAAGCATGTTACTGGCTATGGAAGAACAGAGAACAATGTCACACTGTTTTAATAGTTTAGTGTCCATTTTACAGCACTATCAGTTTTCTGTGTTACAATAACTGTGGGCATTGCCAAACTGCTGGATCCTACCTACAAAAGGCATTTTTTTAAAGTTACCTTAATTTTGGCAAGAATTTAAATGTTAATCAGGCCAAACAGAAAGGTGAAAAATGCTTCTCCACATTTCTTTTGGCTCAATGAATATCAATTTTTTAACTTTATTTCCTCAATTTTTTTGTCTCCCAGAAATTTCCGCATCAAATATGCTTATTTGTAACAATCCAATTCAAAACTTTTTTTCTCTGACCTCTGGCGCCACCTAATGGCATAAAACAAACTCATCAAATTCATATTGCTTTGAAAAAATGGCAGCCATTCAAATCCAATATTTTTTAAGCCTCATTATTGAAAAGTTTTTTTCACACATCAAACCTCAAAAAAATCTTATGAGGTAAAATTCTAACTTAAAAAAATTTTTTTCCTTTTTTTTTTGGTTATTTGAAACCTTGGAGGAAATTTTAAAAACCCTTTTATTTTTTTCCAAAGCCTGACAGAAACACATTTGAAGAAACAGTAAAAGATGAATCTTCATCTACTGCCAAAAGAAATGAATCTTATTTCCTAGTGAAAAAGGTTCTACAACATTTAACAGAAGCAAATTAGACTACTGACACCACACATAGCACAGGAGCCATTTAATAGCTTTGAGAGGCGTCTCAAGAAGGCAGTGAAGCACCTTGCTGATTAGAAAAATAAAACCCAGGCAGTTTGTATTTTTTTTATAAAACCAGAAATGGAAATTACCTGAGTTGTTCTATAAGAAACACCATAAAAACTCATTCCTAACTCTAAACCATCTTAGGGAATTGGCATATGTTTATATAGAATTCTTTTTTTTTTATATTGGAATCAAATGAAAATAGGTTTTCAATATATTTTCACTGGAGGCTAATTTTTTTTCACTTTCTTTTAATCAATCACAAATTTAGAGCCTGTATATAAATACAGACTTTTTTTTTTAGGGGGTTGTGAGCATATATGTGAAGAGGTAAACTGGTCTCAAAAACTATTGTTGAAAAACCTACCAAACTTCTCCTGTACCCAATATAAAGAATATCACTGAGAGTAACAACCAAGAAAATTCTGGAAATGTATGTAATATTTTGGTTACTGAATGAAGATACAGGACTTTATTTTTTTACTGTTAATTGAACTATTAGGACGATATCTTTTTCTGTTTTCATGTTTACGAATTTTTTTAGCTCTCAAATAAGCTACTATATCAGAAGGGACATAAACTGAAATAGTGCCATTCTGACACACAGGATCAGAAACTCCTAATATCATGTATTCCTGAATACTGTTATCAGCGATTTTTTTGAGACTGATTCACTGCTATGTTATGGTGATGATTTGACATGATCCATTCTCCTTAACTAAACCTTTAGCTTCTGTGGTTGTCTGAGGTTTTGGTGGCCATTCTGGATCAACCAAGAGCTCCTGCGCCAGATACATGTACTTTGCCTTTGGTATCTTCTTTCCACAGCTTAGGGCCCAGGGTAAGCAGCATTTTCCCCACCGATCCACTGACTCCTAAGGAAATAAGAGGAAAATTTTTTTACCCCAGTTGATTAAAGGCTTGTTGTTTTAGCAGAGGAAAATAAGAGGAGATGTTTTTTTAGCACAACAAATGGGGGAAAAAAATTCATGTTAAAAAAAGGCAGCTTTGGCCGTTTTTTTTGGCTCATGCCCGAAATCCCAGCATTTTGGGAGGCTGAGGTGGGAGGATTGCTTTTTTTTAGGAGCTCAAGACCAACCTGGGCAACACAACGAAATGCGTGTTCTTTTGTTTTATTTTTTAAAGGTAGCTTTCAATTATTTAGGAACTGATTATTCTTTAGATTTTTTTCGGGTTTTTTTAATATGATTTACTTCATTTAGTTTTATATACCTATACTCTTGTATACTAATACATTTTAAATAACTTGCAGATATGGATTCTTTAACAGAATATCTAGTGTATTAAGAAGAACTTTTTTTCATTCAGAAAGAGAAAACATTTTTAATTTTTAATTTGAAAATCTTCACATTCTGTCCCAAACTATCTTTCCATACTACTGCTCCTGGCAACTTAGCCGCATGATCGTTTTGGAAGAAAGCTGTGTACAAGTAGCCTCGTTACTGTTAATGTCATCTCTCAAAACATGAAGTAATTTTTTTTTGGTCAAAATTAGGGCTTCAATCATGTTTAATGTCAATTACGTCTTTTAAAATTTTTTTCTTACTAATATAAAAAGAATACTGTTTTATAACGATGGTTTCTGTTGGTGCTCTTTTTTTGGGAAGGGTTTGTATAAAACAAGTACTATTGCTTCGTATTATTTCATTGCAAATTTTTTTGCTGTCACTGAAATCCTTCTGATCAATCCTGATGTTTTTAGTGAATGTGGCCTTTTTTTTAACGATCCTTGGAGAATAAGAAAGCAGAGTTCCTGGTTAATGCACAGAAATGTTTTTTTTACAGAGGGCTGAAAAGGGCCCTCAGAATTTGTCTCAATTGAAATTTGAAATAATTTTTTTTGACTATACCGGGACTCAATGAAGCAGTTGTATTTATCTCTAAAGAACAGCCACTTCTTAATTATTTTGGCTGCTGCTTCTCCAAAATGAAATTTAAATTCCAGGTCATTTTGTTTTGCCAATCAACATATAACCCAGGCTACAACTAGCTCTAAATGAAGTAATCTCACAAATTTTTTTATAACATAACTGAGATGCATATTCTAATGTTATCTAAAATGCCTCATGATTTATTTTTTTAAGTTAGCTAGAGATGTATTTTGAAACATGTTTCTAAATTAGCCAATGGAGAAGAGCAAAAATACTTTAAAATTAAAGCTCTTAAAGTTTTTACATAGGTCACTTGATAGCTCTTTCTCATCCAATTGAAACCACCATCAGGAACCTACTACTCTTCCCCTCTTCTCCCCGACTTTTTTTGAGCATGGTAAACAGTAACTCACCGCTCTCAATGTTAAAGGTCTGCTAGCTTATTTTTTTCAACAAAACACAATAAGCTACACTGCTACCAAGAATTTAAAGGCAAAAACGGTGGACAAAAGCAAGCTACATCTGGGGTGGGGGCGGGGGAAGTCTGAAGATTACTCGCCTAGTTTTTTTTTCACTGTCATAACTAAAGAGAGTTATATTAGTATGACCTTTAAAAAAAGTCCACAGGAAAATATTTAGCATTAAGGTACAGAAGTCACTGTTTATAGGATTCTTCAGGTGATTTTTTTTAACAGATAAAGCCTCTCCAGTACAGGCACACAACAAACATAATATTTCATCTGTTTTTTTAATTTACTACTTAGATCTTACTTTTTCCCAAGGTGTCATTTGTCAATCTAATTTTTTTTTAAATCATTGTTCCTAAATCAATTCGAAAGCTGTCACTTTTTTTTTTTTTTTCATTTTTTTTCTTGCTCTGTCACCAGGTTGGAGTGCAGTGGCGCGATCTAAGCTCACTGCAATTTTTTTCTCCCGAGTTCAAGTGATTCTCCTGCCTCAGCCTTCCAAGTAGCTGGGATTACTTTTTTTCGCCACGGCGTCCAGCTAATTTTTTGTATTTTAGTAGAGACAGGGTTTCACCATTTTTTTCAAGATGGTCTCGATCTCCTGACCTTGTGATCTGCCTGCCTCAGCCTCCCAAAGTGCTGGGATTACAAGTATGGGCCACCGTGCTCAGCCGAAAGCTGTCACTTTTAAGTAGCTTTTTTTAGATTATCAGAGAAAATAAGCTAATGTTGACTGTTGACTTTTTTTAAAAAAGCAGAAACATAATAGGACTTGTCCGTCCAAAGAATCTGCCAGGTTGAAGGGCAATGTGTAGCAAGCTGAGTTAAGGAAAGCCAAACACACATATTTCAATTCATTGCTCCCTACTTGTGGAAAGTAAGTCAACCAATAAAATTAAAATTAATTTAATTGCAAATAGAACAACCGAATAGGATTTTTTTTATGCATTGAAAAAAAATCCTCACAACCCTATTACAAACAATGTACACTTGTCACAATTTTTAAAAAGTCATGAGGAACACTAAGGATCCCCCTACTGTACCATAATTGAAAACTTTTTTTTCCTGTACCCTTACCTTCCCCAAGTATCATACACAGAAAGTACACTATATGCATTTTTTTGTTTGTTAGTTTACAAACACAAACATACCACACACATTCTCAAACACAATATAATTCAGTAGAAGAGAAAATAAAAGGTGCTACAGGCATGCTGGAATGAGAAATCAGCCAGCTTTTTTTTGATGATGGTGCAGGGAGAAAGGCAAGCACTGTGTAACACAAAGGCCATGAAATTTTTTTTCGGGCACAGGGTGAGCACGTGGGTCTCTCCAAAACACCTACAGCACAAGTCCTTTTTTTAGGACACAGTAGCTGTAGCAACTGGATCTTTCGGTTTGTTTCTGAAAGGAATATTTTTTTGACGAAATTTATCCCCTCAGAGAAGGAAAGAGGCTATCATGCATAGTTTAGCATTTTTTTTAAAAAGAACTTTCAAAAATGTCAAGTTTACGCTTAGCAATGTCTTTCAGTAATTTTTTTCATGGGTAGTATATAAAACAGAATGCCAAGCCTGAAGGAAAAAATGTTACAACTTTTTTTTGGTTTTCATAAGTCTTCTTCCATACCAATTCTGAATATAAAACAAAACAGAAAATCAGAATAAACATTCTAGCTATGTAGCTCAAATAATATTCTAAGTGGCATAAAGACTACCACTACACCATAAAAACTACTTTTTTGGATTTTTCACCAAATAAGAAAACATGAATTGGTTTTTTTTCCCCAGGCACGATCAGATCACAGGTAGTAGGATCTAGTTCCACTACTAAGTATTTTTTTTTTACAGACACAAGGTGGGCACAAATGCTCCTAAAGAGAAGATGTGACATAGATTTTTTTAAACAGGGTAAAGCTTTATAGAAAACCACAGATGACGGGGGTCTCCACTGAAGTTTTTTTTCCAGTAGGGCAAGGGTGGAGTTCAAAGCATTTCTGATGAATAATCTTGCTTGTTTTTTTCCGGTATAAATTTTCTTTTTTTTTTTTTTTTTTTGGTCAGAGAATAAGTATGATTTTTTTGGGCTGCCAACTGTGACAACCAAAAGTGTCTCCAGACACTGGCAAATGTCCCCTTTTTTTAATCATCTCTGACTGAGAACCTCGGCCTTACGGTAATATGATGAACTAATGACTTTTTTTCGAAGGACCGCAAACATCAACAGTGAAGCAACACTACACACAGAGGCAGCAGAGTGTGAGAGCAGCCACTTTGTGCTGGGAGGTTATAAGAACTCTCTTTCCTAAAGCCAGTATTTTTTTTAAAAATGCACCTTAATCATGACCATAGATACGGAAGACTTCAATTCTCGTCTTTTTTTTGATTTTCAGAATCAGCTGACACATAGGGTATGCTGGGGCCCACCTGCCCTGGATTTTTTTCTACCTTCACTCTCCCATGAACACTTTAGAGGTAGAAACACAAACTCCTAAAAATTAGAAGGGCGGGCCGAGTGTGGTGGCTCACGCCTGTAATCCCAGCACTTTGGGAGGCCGAGGCAGGCAGATGGCTTGAGCCCAGGAGTTTGAGACCAGCCTGGGCAACACGGCAAAACTTTTTTTCTGGGAAAAAAAAAAAAAATTGCTGGGCCTGGGATGGCATGCACCTGTAGCTCCATCTACCCAGCAACATGGTGAAACCCTATCTCTACAAAACAAACCAACAAAAATTGCCGGGCACAGTGGCTTGCACCTGTAATGCCAGCTACTCGGGAGGCTGAGATGGGAGGATAATCTGAGCCTGAGGAGCTCGAGGCTACCGTGAGCCATGATCACGCCACTGCACTGCAGCCTGGTTTTTTTAGTGAGACCCAGGTCTCACAAAAAGAGAAGGGCAGATATTTATTAATAATTTTTTTAGAAAACAGAGACAAATAAAAGAATTTTCTGTCACTTAATTTTGGTTGAAAAGCAAGTTTTTTTTCCCAATCCAAATATTTTTAAGGGGTCTTATGATACATACTTTCAACTAAACCTTTTTTTTACTCCCCTCCAAAACATGTAATTTCTTGTTCAGATCAATAGTCAGAGATCTCTTTTTTTAATATAAAAATCTAAATGTTTTCCTAGGCCTAGGAATACAATACAAATATTTCTTTTTTTAATTGATGATATAAGCCAAAAATAACCTTCTGAAGTAATGCAGTGAGGTAACTTTTTTTTCGGGGGTGGGAGGGTTGGGTTGTTGGGATGTGTGTGTCTGTGTGCGTGTGTGTTTTTTTTTGTGTGTACACAGACAAGATTTTGCTAAAGGACTTGAGCCCCTTGTACAACCCTTTTTTTACCCACTACTAGGGACAACTGGTATTACACTGCTTTCAGGGGAAAAAAAAAAATTTTTTTTGACTCTAGATGCTGCTGCATTCCATCATTATCCACCATAAAGCATTATAAAATTTTTTTAGTGCTCTGCAGGCCCTCTTTGAAAGCAATCCTGTGGCATTACACCAGGACATTTTTTTTGCTGGATTACCAAAATAAAGCTCAGGAAGTTACCACTTAGGTAAAAGTTGGCTTTTTTTTAGTGCGTAACCCAACTCAAAAATGCCAAGGAGTCCTCTTCAACACCACCAGCTTCCTGTGGCTCAAGGCTGAGTAAAAGACTCAGAGCTCTTATCTGTAAAGCATATCACCCATTTTTTTAGAAAAATGGGTAAGGCAATGAAGGGGTGAGATTTTATCAAATTCTCTATGACCAAAAAGCTACCTCAAAGAGTTCTGACTCACAGCATGGGTTTAAAAAATAAGTCCAATCTGTATCTGTATCAAGAGCTCTACTTTAAAATCCTAACACTAGGAAATGCGTTTTATTCTTCTGTGTCTCTTCTCTCTTTACCACAGAACTTGCGATACCTTTCAAATGATAGGCTATTTAACAGACCCAAAAAGTCAAATGTCCTAAAACATGGTTTGTATGAAAAAAGGCAAATCATCTTTTTTTTTAAATGGTATATAATGCTGGAGAAAGCCAAAAAGGCACTCCAAATTAAGGGACAGTAACTGACAAGAAATCAGGAATAATTCTTCAAAATTCTGGCCTTTGGACTCTGATCCAATTTTTTTCAATTTTCACTGCAAATTTTGTTTATATAAATCTCATTTAGCTTCTAAGGGGATTCATGAAAAACAAAAACATAAAATTTATAGTAGACTGAAATGGAAAAATTAACTCACCTTTTTTTTCAAGACTTTTACACAAATAGAAGATCAGGATTGGAATGGAAAGGAGACTTATGAAATTTCTGATCTTGAAAAGCCTCTAACAAATGTTTGCCATGAATTGTCTAGGACTTGTTTTTTTTTATGAAATGCCAAGCACAGGGAAAAAGGCTGAAGTAACACATAATAGAACAAGATTTTTTTAGAGAATAACATGTAACAGAACAAGAACATGCTAGAAAATACAGCGTACGCAATTTTTTTGCCTAGACAGACAGGAAGAACTGAGAATTGAAGTGCTGAGTTCCAACCTGTGGTGGCTGTGTGGTGCTGAACCGATACTCTCCTTGTTTGTCTCGATTGAATACAACTTTCCATTTTTTTATGTCAAGGAAGAAGTTCTGAGAGACAGTCCAGCGAGTTAAGAATTAACAATGACTAAGTCATTTTTTATTAATGTGCACCTTTTTAAAGAATCACACAATGCTGCATAATTGATGAAAAACATATTTTGATTTTCATATATGGAATTTCAGTTAACACTGCCAAAGGATCAAGAATGACAGGACTTTTGTAACAAATATAAATCATCATAACATTCTTGATAAAATGAGACTTCTAAATTTTCCATGAAATATGACTTCTGTATAAAAAGGTCTTTCCCATATTAAAATGATTTTTTTTTAATTTGAAGTCTTTCTTCACAATGCTTATGTTCACTGAATATCTAGTATTAATTTTTTTTCCATATCTATAGATATATAATTTCATCAGCATCCAACACAAACCATTCTTTATTTTTTTAGAATAAGTAACATTTCTGTGAAAAGATGAACTTATACTGTAGAAAAAGAAACTTTTTTTGAATGTATCTTACATGTGCTTCCTAGCACCCATAAAATAGAAAAAAAAAATCACATTGCACTGCGCAACTTCCAAAGGTCAGTACCATAATATCCATGCTGCCCATCATATCTCAAATTTAAATACCAACTCATCTTTTAGGGGGTAATGAAATTAAGCGTAATTTCTAAGTCTTTTTTTATGATCACTAAAATATATGGATATATATTTCTCAAAAAAATTACCTTTATTTTAATCCAAAAGCCTGTGCTACGAAACTCTTAACTTAAAAATCACAACTGTATCTCCCTCTTCCATTTCTTATAGTTACTGAAACAGTCAATTACCATAGTAGTTCTGAGAGCAGACAAAAGTTTTTTTTGAGAACTTGCTACCTCCTTTTAGAGACTAACCTAAAGGCAATTCTAACAGGAGGGTAACTACACAATATACAATGAATCAAACGGTACTTAAGACCTCTAGAGGCCACTCAAAAGCAAATATCAAGGAGGATGTTCCAGTAATCAAAGCTGAAATTAGGTAAGTCCATAACGTTTTTTTTTTTATACTTTCATTAAACTCTCTTGCTATTAATATTCACTGTGTTTCCTGGATTTTTTTCCCCCGCCCCATTCTTTCCTTCCTTAAATGGGAGATTTTACTGTACATCACAAAACACAGGTGGCACATGCCAACTCTGATTTCACAATCACTGATTCATTAGTTCATGGGCCACCGAGGCCCCGAACTTCTCTCCTTTCTACTCATCATTACTTTTTATTATCACATTGCTTATTTTCTCCTATCTGTGTGAGTGCAACTAAGTCACATCCCTTAATATGATCACTATGAATTTTTTTTGAAGTTTCACAAGAGAATGCTAAGTGAATTTGCCTAAGATGAAACTGAGACTCTTTTTTTTTCCATTATATTACCTGTCCTCTTCTCCCATTTACCATTAAATCACCCAAGAATTTTTTTGCAACATGGTAGCCATTTGACTATGGAAGTGCTTACCTCCACTGTGATAGATACAAAGGCATTGACAAGAACAATGATGAGCATAGTTACACGCCACTGATATGGTACACACATTTTTTTTAATGCAAAAACATTTTAAAGTTAAAATTGCTGTATGTCGTCAATATTATAGCTTTTTTTCATAATTTCTAAATTTATTGAATTCCTATGATGTACCAAACACCTTCATATATTTTTTTTTATCTACTTAATCCTCAACACTGCCCCAGGGTATATATAATATTCACTGTCAGATGATAAAACTTAAAGTGTAAGTAACTCAAGGTTAAAGCAAATATTAAGTGACTGAGGTTTTTTTTTGTCAAATCCTGTTCACTGAGATTCAAAAGCCCATGCTCTACTAGATCATGAATGTCTAAACAGTTTCTATTTTTAAAATAAAAGTCCATCTTTAAACAATGAGGTACCAGCCGGGCACAGTGGCTCACGCCTGTGATCCCAACATCTTGGGAGGCAGAGGCGGGCAGATCACTTGAGGCTAGGAGTTTCAGACCAGCCTGGGTAATATGGCAAAACCTCGTCTCTACTAAAAATACAAAAATTAGCCAGGTGAGGTGGTTGTGTGCCTATAATCCCAGCTACTGAGAAGGCTGAGGCATGAGAATCACTTGAGCCTGAGAAGCGGAGGCTGCAGTGAGCCGAGATCCTGCCACTTTTTTTCAGCGTGGGTGACAGAAGACTCTGCCTTAAAAAAAAAAAGAGGTACCAATCTATTTTTTTAGTACTGGTCAAAACTTAATTATACAGACAAATTCATAAAAGAACTATACAGATTTTTTTAAGAAAAAACAATCTAACTGTTCACTTTAAAATCTGATTAATTTCTAAGGCCTTTTTTTTTGGGATAGTAGTAAAGACAGAAAGAGGTTTAGAATAAGAAAACTGAAAGAATCTAACAAATGGCTGGCTACGGAAGGAGGAAGAAAAGGCACGGATAAACAGACACACACACGTTTTTTTACATGCACACTTCTGACTTGGATAAATAGTGGTACTAAGAAACAGAGAAGAAATTTTTTTGAAGGAGAACATGATGAGCTTAGTTCTTAAAATGCTGAAATTGAGGGATCTGTTGGATGGAACACCCAAGTAATAGTCAATATATCAGTGTACATGCAGGTCTACAGCTTAGTGAGTTAGGCGCAGGGTATAAAGGTTGGGAGCCTTTGGCATATAGATGGTAATTACAGGTGTTTTTTTGACTCTAGGGGACATCACCAGAATGTACTGAGTGACCAGAGGAATAAGAACAGAAATGTAAGGAACTCTAACATTTAAGGAACGGGCAGAAGGAGTGGAACCACAGTAGAAAATTTTTTTGAAGAGTCATAGAGGTAAGAAAAGGCCAAAAGAGAGCAAAGCATCACAACATTTTTTTTTAGAGTATCTTAAGAATGATGATATGGCTAACTCAACAAATACTGCTGGGGAGTTTTTTTTGACTGGAAAAAAATAAATTAAGGAGAAAAGTCTACTGGACATAACCAGTAAGAGGCAAACGGCCTTGCTAAGGGCAGTTTCAGTAGATTGGCAGGGGAAGATGCCGGACTAGCTGACAAATGTGTGGGAGGTAAGCTGAATGTGGTACTATTTCAAGAAAAAGTTGGTTGTAAAACCGAAGACATGTGCAGCAGAAGAGAAATAGAATGCATTTTGTTTTCTTCTTTTACTGTTTTTTTTTATCTAACCCCCTCAATGAAATATGCAGGGAAACAGACATACATTGATGGTAAGACTACAACCCGGAACACCTTCAAAGTTCAATAATGCAACATTTATGACAATTAAATTTATTTTTTTCCTCAGACCAAGCAATTCCACTTTTTCATATTTAGCCTATAAATATATATTTGTCTGTAACTGAAGTATGCAAGGATTTACAATACCACATTGTTTCTAATAGCAAAACACTGGAACCAACCTAAATATCCAGCAAAACAGGACTAAACAAATTACAAAAAAGTCCATGCAATGGAATACTCACTTCACAAACTTTGTAAGCTTAAGTTATATAACTTTAAGATCAAACCTGTCCACAACACACAAGAAAGGAAAATCAAATCTGATCTCATTCATGCAGAGGCAAAAATCCATTTTTTTATCATAGCAACCTAAATCCAAATTTCAAAGAGTGTGCATCATGACCAAACTGAATTTATTCTAGAATTGCAAAGTTAGTTCAATATTTGAATACTGATCAGCTATAATTCATCTTTTTTTTCAGGGAGAAAAACTGTGTGACCATTTCAATAGCTGCAGAAGAAGCATTAGATTGGCTGGGCATGGTGGCTCACACCGGCAATCCCAGCACTTTGGGAGGCCAAGGCGGGTGGATCACAAAGTCAGGAGTTCGATGCCAGTCTGGCCAGATGGTTAAATCCCATCTCTACTAAGAATACAAAAAATTAGCCAGGCATGGTGGTGCATGCCTGTAATCCCAGCTACTTGGGAGGCTGAGGCAGGAGAATTGCTTGAACCTGGGAGGCGGAGGTTGCAGTGAGCCGAGATCATGCTTTTTTTCTCCAGTCTGGGCGACACAGCAAGACTCCATCTCAAAAAAAAAAAAGCATTAGTTTTTTTTTTAAAACCATTTATGTTAACAACACTGTACAACCAAGGAAGCTTCCTTAACCTGATAAAGACTATGTACTAGAAATACACAGTAAACAGTATATCTAACGGTGAACTATTAGTTTTTTTTCCTTTAGAGACAAGACTAAGACAAGGATATCACTATCACTGTAACCAATACATTAACACATGAAAAATACAAAGAAAGCATCTAAGGACTATGAAATGTCAGAAACAAACAGTTTTTTTTTACTTATATATGATGCCTCTCTAAACAGAAAATCCTAGACAATCTAAAATGTTTTTTTTTAAAGTCTGACAAGGCTTCTGGGTACAAGATGAATATCTAAAACAATTGTATTTTTTTTTACAACATAAAAAATTAGAAAATGTCATTTTAATTTTAATTTATCAAGGGATCATTTTTTTTATTACTCCAGGAATCTAACAAAAAATGTACAAAAACCATTAGGGAGAAAACTATCTGACTTACTGAAAGACATTAGGTCAAGAAGACAGAAACAGAAAGAGATATTGTTTGTGGGAAGGAAAACTAATCAATTCACCCTCAAAATTTATTGATCAACTCAGTGTAATTCTAATTTTTTTAAGAGGGCTTTTCCTGGTATTTGACAAACTAAACTGAAAAGTTAAGAAGAAAAGCTTGGCTGGGCACAGTGGCTCACCAACGCGGGGAGATCACCTGAGGACATGAGTTCGAGACAAGCCTGGCCAACATGGTAAAACCCCGTCTCTACTAAAAATAGAAAAAATTAGAGCCATTTTTTTTGGCAGGTGCCAGTTACTCGGGAGGCTGAGAGGCAGGAGAGTCACTTGAATCCGAGAAACGAAGGTTGCAGTGGGCTGCACTCCAGCCTGGGCACCAGAGCCAGATTCTGTCATTTTTTTACACATACAAAATAAAAATAAAAAAGGAAGAAGAAGAAGAAAAACTCAAGCACTTTTTTTAAAGGTCATGATGAACAACAATGTATGTGGGGGTAGGAGTCCTACCCAACCATATATCAAGATTTCTTATAAAGTCATGGTCAACATGGACAATATAGTACTGGCACAAATAAAGAGAACTAAAGAACAAAATATGGAGTCCCTAAAACACTCTTAGTTATATATATGCAAAACCGTGGCCAGACACCATGGCTCATGCCTATAATCTTAACACTTTCAGAGGCCGAGGCAGGAGGATCACTTGAGCCCAGGAGTTGGGGGCCAGACTGGGCAACACCGTGAAACCCCATTACTTTTTTTATTACAAAAAATTTTAAAATTTGCTGGGTGTGGTGGCACACACCTGTGGTCCTTTTTTTTCAGGAGGCTGCGGTGGGAGGACCACTTGAGCCCAGGAGGTTGAGGCCACAGTGTTTTTTTATCATATCACTGCACTCTAGCCTGGGTGAGGGAAGGAAGGCAGGAAGGCAGGAAGGCAGGAGGGAGGGAGGGAGGGAGGGGGGGAGGGAGGGAAGGAGAAGGAAGGAAAGAAGGAAGGAAGGAAGCTGATATAGGACAAAGGTATCACTGAATATCAGTGGGAAAAGACAAACTTCAATAAGCAATTGCTGAAACAAATGGGTATGTGTAAGAGAAAAAAAGAAAAAGAAATATGATTCCTATTCAAAAGCTATACATAAAATTAATTCCAGATGGATTAAAGACCAAATGTGAGAGTATCTTTATAACTCTGAGATGGACAAGTCTGCCAAACTGAGACACAAGGAACAAACAAAGAAATTAATAAATTTGCCTTGTCAGATTATAAATTTGTTTTTTAAAAACAGATATTATAAACAAAGTAAAAAGACAAGCCACAAACTGGGAGAAGGTATTTATCACTATACAGTCAAACATAATACATTAAGAACTCTGAAAACTAAGTTTAAAAAAAGGCAACATCTTAGTAGAAAATATTGGCAAAAGACATGAATAGGCAGTTCACAGAGAAAATAAAAATGGCCATTAAACATATGAAAAAATGCTCAACTCCATTAGTAAAGTTAATTGGCAAGTAAAACCATCATGATATAACATTTTACACCCACTAGACAAGACAAAGTGTTGGCAATGATATGAAACAACAGGATGTCAAACCCTGATGGATGACTGATACAATCACTTTGGAAAACAACTTGCCACATGGTAGCTGAAGAGCAGTACATGCTCATCATGATACCAGATTCACCAGAGGAAACTTCTGTCCCAAGTGGTTTGCCAGGGGTACTAGTGGAAGGAGTATACTACCACTGGAAGTGTTTGCAATTACCAGCACATGGCAATATTTAAAAAGCAGATGGACTTCTACTGGGCTTAATTACTTTTTCAAATTCTCTACAGCATAGCACCACTGTCTCACTGCTTGTACCTGGGATAAACCACTCCTACTCCACTCTGGTACACTATTACTTACCCCCATACACTGAAAGACATGTAAAAATATGTTCATAGCAGCAGTATGTTCAGTAAATATTTACCAACAGAGGATGAAGAAATGAATTTAATATATTCCTGCAACTGTATACTATAAAGCAGTGAAAATAAAATACACGTATCAACAAACAATGTTGATGGGAGAATGCAAGTCACAGAAAAAAGGGAACAAGTTAACATTTTCATAAAGTTCAAGAGCACACAAAACTATCTTTTATGACTGCAAACATACACGGTAAGTATATAATGAAAACAGGGAATGACAGGGAAAATCATCAAAACAGGTACATGAGAGTGCCTTATTGATTGGCAATGATACCTTTTTTTGTTTTCTTTTGTCACTGACTTGTGCTCAGGTAATGTTCATTTCTTTAGGCTGGATGATACACTCAGGGTGTTATTTCTTAATTTTTTAATTACAGTTAACAACTTAAATATGTGCACATATTCTTTTGTATGAAAAACAAGTATTTCATTACTCAGAAAGTTTTTAATGAAAAGAATGAAGAACTAAATGGCCAAAAAACAAAAGGGAGCATGTGCAGACTACTCAAGAAGCAGACTGGTAGAGAAGAGAGGAGTAACAGGTACCAGGATCAACGCTTTTTTGTTTTTAAAGACCAAGGGCTATTTAATTTGTTTGCAGACAAATGAAAATGGAACCAGAAGCAGAGATTAAACAGGTATAGCTAATAAAAGCTGCTATTTTAATTAGGTTCTTTATTCTTTGTAGAGTATCTTTGAGTTAATATAACAGCATCTTTTTTTGAGACTCCATCTCAAAAAAAAAAAAAAAAAAAAAAAAGGTGGGACTCATACTGTGTAAAAAGCAATTCTACTAGACATATACTTATAATAGAATATATAAAAAGAAGAGATCCTGGAAAAAAAGAAATGTATACAGGTTAGTCTTTTTCCCCAAACAAATGATGTGCTTAAGTCTTACCTGAAGAACCTGGTCAACAGAGGCAACTGGATACAACATGATGAATAATATAAAAACATATAAAAAAATCACAGAAAAAACAAAAAAATCTGGAAAAGAAAGTAAAAGTAAAACAAGTAAATTAGGAAATTCCTTTATATAAAAAGGTATCCAATAACAACTGGCATACTATCATTTCTAAATCTGGTTTTGAATACTTTCACTTCAGTTGATGAAATAAAGTATGTGCTCTGTTATTTCCTAGAGCACGAGACATTGTTCAGGGCACCCAAAAGATTCATATACACGATGTGATGTTATATTTAAACTCCATTAGCTTTAACCGTAAAAGTACTTCAGAAAATAATCAGCACTTAAAAAAATAAGACTCAGACCTTCATGGACATTCGCATGTTGCCCAAATGGATAGCTACTTTGTAAGATAGTAAAGTCAATATATAATGTACAAATAAGAGACTAAACTATGTGTGGCAAAATGAGATTATCATTTAAAACATGTATTCAATGACAATTACTATTGATTGTAAAAACGCTGAATAACACTTATTTTCAGTATTAGGTATGTCTTAATTCTAAACAGAGGCATTCTAACCTAAATGTGAATATACTTCTAGTTAAGTGAATCCCATTTTTTCACTGATTTACACTGTGAAAATGTTTTCACAGAAAAAGCCAAAAGCCAAGAGACTGAATTGATCTACTGTTTTTCAAAGTGGGCTGACCTTATGGCTTGCTATGGGAGCTGGGAACAGCAAATCCACCCAGGAGTACTTTGTCTCACTTTTCTAACTCAAAAACCAAACTGCTTGCTCATGGCCATTTTCTTAAGTGTGTACATACACACATATACATGCATGTATATAAGCATATACTTATATAATAATAAGCCATAAAAATGGCTCCAAAATGTCCTAATTATATTGATAGCCCAAACTTTTTCCCATTTTCCTTTGATCTGGACATTTATTTACAAGTTCCTATTTGAACTCCATTTCAGACTTAAACTTTCCTAAGACCACATACAAAAACTTTACCACGAAGCCTCCGGACTGGGTAAAGAAGTCACTTTCCTTCTACTGACTGGAAATGAAGGGTCTCAGTGCTACGTTTAAACGTGGAAGTTATTTGTAAATATAAACTTCGTTAATATCAATTCAAAACTACAGGTAAATATTTATCATTCTACGGAAACTATACTATATATTAATCATTTTTATGTTTATATATACCAGTGTGTAGGGGTATATATACATAGTTTTAGTAGCTTAAGCTGAAACTTACACGAACACTTATACCAAAAGTGGAGACACTTTTTTTACTATGAGCCACTGACCAAAAGGATTAAAAAAAACACGGGGCCAGGCATGGTGGCTCACGCCTATAATTCCAGCACTTTGGGAGGCCGAGGCGGGCGGATCATGAGGTCAGAATATTGAGACCATCCTGGCTAACACGGTGAAACCCTGTCTCTACTAAAAATATAAAAAATTAGCTGGGCATGGTGGCGGGTGCCTGTAGTGCCAGCTATTTGGTAGGCTGAGGCAGGAGAATGGCATGAACACGGGAGGTGGAGCTGGCAGTGAGCCGAGATCACACCACTGTACTCTATCTAGCCTGGGCGACAGGGCGAGACTCCATCTCAAAAAAAAAAAAAAAAAAAAAAAAGGGGGACTCATATTGTGTAAAAAGCAATTCCACTACACTGTAAATAGGAAATGTGACATCCTGTTTCACAAATGCAGCAACTAAAGTATCAAATAAGTTCTATGGTCACTTAAGTAGTTATGGTCAGATAAGGAAAAAGTGTTTAGAAAGTGGTGGTTGGAAGTATATAAAAACAGAAAAGAAAAGAGACAAAATCAGAAAAAGTACAAAAAGCAATGGTCAGAATATAAATGGCAGAGAGAAACACAGAGACTAAAAAAGAATTTCAATGAAGTAATACCCATATTGCATGTTTTTCAAATCCGATTGCAGTTTTCAAACCACAGCAGATTTACACCTGGTTCTTGACATGTGCGTTGTTGGCAAAACAATAAAATAAAATAACTTACTCAAGCACAGAAGCGTCTTTACATCTACCTAAACAATGTTTCTCAAATTTTCATGTCTCTCCCACAGCCACCTCTTGGATCCCACCTCTAAAAATCTGCCAAGATTTCCATGTGAAAGAGAAAATAAGTAACTGAATCTATCTTTGTTTAGCCTGGAGGAAAAAAAAAAAAGGGCACTATTCAAAAAAGACACTATGTGACAAGGGAGAAGGATGGCTGGTAGACATATAATCATACCAAATTTTAAAATCAATAAGGATTTCAACCAAGAATAGAAGAACTAGGTATTCACTTTAGAGAGGTATGAATTTCTTGTAGACTATGCTCTCAGCTCCTAGATTCTCCTAGCATTATAAGCAATGGCTTAGTAATTATACTAAAGTGTAAAATAAACATTCTTCACCAGAAGACAGATATCAAAACAAATTGTGTGTCACTGGTGACTGCAGGCCAGGGATTTAGATTGTTTTAGACTGACTCTTCCACAAAGCTATGTGAATCTGAACAAGTCATTTACAGTCAAATTATTTTATCTATAAAACGGGGATATAAGGATTCTGTAGGAAATAGTAGATTTTTAAGTATTCAAAGTACATAGCAACATTAAATTGAAGTTATTATGAAATATTTTTCAGCTTGCGGCAACATACGATGTGCTGTTCATGATCCCAGATCCCACCGAGGGACTATGGTATCAAAATAAGGTACCAGAAAGGATTTCCTTCATATTCTCCTTAGTGACTCTGAAATAAGGTAGACACACATACAATATTCATCCCTAATATATATCTCTTTGTTCCTTCCCCAAACAATAACTAGAACTAACCTACAGCCACAAATCTTAAGCCTTTTTATTCCTATCCCTCTCCCTTATCCAGTTATGTCTTTAAAAGGTCACCTTATTCTGTAGGGCCTCTAGGTATCTGAACTGCTTCAACCAATTTAGGCATGCTAGATGAATAGGAAAAAGATACACAAGCCCTGAATAGGAAAGATACTGGCAATTCAGTAGTAATGCCTTCATAGACAGACAAAGGGATTAGGTAGCACAAGCAATAAACTGTAGGGCTGATCCAACAAGAAACTGCATTAAAAATTGAAGCCAAATCCAAGAAATCATGTCTAAAGGAGAGTGTTAAGAATTAAGTGCATATCACGACCCTTGAAATGAAAGCAGCTGAATGAGAAAACGTTAACTGTGAAGCTCAAGTTGAAAACAGGGAACCAAACAGACTGAAGTTAAGTTTAATTTAGATTGAAAGTGAACCCACAAGCAAGGAAAAAACTCAAAAGAGAGTTCCTTAAACGCCTAAGGATGAGATTAATTCTTAAAAATATAATTTCAAAATACATTTAATACATTACACACCATTTATAGAGAGCAACAACTGGCAGGTCCTAGAAAGGACTCTGCATGGACTCCCATGACAAACAGACAAGGCGTGAAAACTAGCAGAACGTCTGCATCAACTGTACTGCTCCTTTTGTGCTTTTCAGAAGGCATGTTTTATAACAGAAAGTGCTTCTGTTTACTCACTGAGAGAAGTACACAAGCTGATAATAGGAAAGGCAATCAAGTTTTAGGCTTGTATTTCTGCTAAATATAATAATACATTTTTAAATCATCCAGTGGCCAACAACAGTGTTATTTATTCTAGTAAACTGGAAATTAAACAAGAATACAAAATTTCTTAACCCTTTTTAAAAAAGTTTTCCAAACATATAGAAGATGCATTTTTAGAAACAGGGAACTAATATTCTGCCTTTCTCTTTTTTAATTGTAACAGTGTGGATAGGGTAGATCTCTAAAATTAACTTTCTTGATAGAGCTGTCTTGCTTGCAAACCAGTCTGAACACCAGTTTTCTTCAAATAAAAAAAAAAAAGCAATGTTTTTTCATAGATGTTTTTAGCTACCCTTAAATGTGTTCAATATTTCCTTGAAATTTAAAAATATTGAACTAAAAATAAAACATATACCAATGTTAATGATTAAATTCACCTTATAATAAGTTATCTGTAGTAAAAAATCCTTTTAGAAATACCATGGCAAATCTTCTATGGAAGGTTTTTCATCCCGTAGCATGGTTCTAATACGGTTCTTAGTAACATAGTTATTAGTATGGTTATACAGCAATATATAACTAATAAATAATAACAGTTTTTAAATAGTTATTTTTTACAGTTCTTAGTAACAGTCATTAGTATAGTTATATAGCAATATATAACTAATAAATAAGTAATAATAATTTTTAAAATAAGAAACATAAGTTCCAAAAAGGGGGCAAATAAAGGAAAAATTACCAGTAAGATCAGATTTTAATCTTACCCGTCCAAAATATAAAGTAATAAAACTTGCCCTACAAACCAACAGGGTAGAAGTGACAAATAAGATAACGTATGAGAAAATGCCTTATAAATGCTAATATGAGAGACAGAGACGCTAACAGTTGTGACTCCTATGACATACTGATACCTGTGACCTGGCATCTTGCCAACTAGAACACTGCCACCTCGTCATAACTACAGCAAAAGAATAATTGCTATTCGCTCCAAGATACTGCAGAAGTCTAAAAGTTGTTCCATATATTAGTGTATTCTTAATTTTTTTAATTGGCAATTTATATGCAGTAACTGATTTTTTCCATAAACTCTAATTTTGATCAATCAAAATGGTATATTCTACTGCCATAGACAAGTCCACAAGGGCACAGGCCCCCATTCAGCCTGTGCTGAATGGCCCTTTCTTCAATAGCATGCAAAGATACTAGAAATGAAGAATCCCAGAGGTGAACACAGGCCATACCAGTGTCGGAAATGAAGAAGATGGCTGATGCTGTGCAGACCGCCCCGGAGGAAAGTGTAATACCTACTGTTCCAACTGAGGAACCTCTGTCTCTGCTTCCAATCCTAACTCCCTCCGCAATGGGTTGAGGAACCTCTGTCTCTGCTTCCAATCCTAACTCCCTCCGCAATGGGTTGCAGAAATAAAAGCTGCAGCCAGAGGCAGTAGGATGTGAAAAACAACAGTGTTTAACACTGGTGGCTTTAACTTTAAATTTAGGGTGGCAACTACCAATGAAAGTAAAACAAAACAGTAAACATCTAAATCACTAAGTTCATTCCATCTGTGAAGATCTGGTTTACTGTGGAAAAGACAGTTATAATTATTCTCTTCTACATTAGTTTTAAAGGGGCAAGGCAGGGTGGAAATCACAATAAATGCCAAACTTACAATTTTTGTAGCAAGGTTGCCTGAAGGGTTTTCCTTTTGAAAAGGCAATTGCCACTATGAGGTACTGAAAACTGGAAATAAAAAACACTGTGGTATTTTCATAATTTTGTATATTATGTTCATCAAGTTCGGTTTCATTGTCTAAGTGTGAAGAATTCCAAAGCAGGCTTCCGGTTGCATTACAAGCACTAGAACACATGCAAAAAATGCTTGCATTAGTAAACAGAATACTCATTTCCCAAAAGAAACCAATCTTACCCTAATTGCCCTGAATCACTATCATAACAAACAGAAATACGATGATGTTTATAGCAAAAGGTCCAACAATATCAAAATAAGATATATAAAACAGGTACAAAGAGTATGAAGGGTTTTCTCTTCAGTCAGACATCTCAATCACTTAAAAAATTAGAATCAAGTAAGAAATATTTAATAAGCCCCCTCAGTTTTTTAATTTTGGCAGGAATTTTAGCAGAGTAAAAGCAGACAGAAAATGGGCTTGACCCAAGCTCTATCACTTTTCAGGGCAAACTGAGGAAATAGTATTTACTCTCTCTGAGCCTACCTCCTCGCTGGTCAATGTTGGTACCTACATCACAAGTTGACATGGGGACTAGCAGGATGACTTGTGCAAATGCCTAGCAAGCCCCCAGTGCTTGATGGCCCTCAGTATTCTCCAGCTGTGGCTCTCTCTCATTTCTACTTTCAGGTAGGCAGGACCATGAGGCGCACAAACAACTAATTATGAGAAGTCCCCAACAATCATTACTGAAACATTAACTATAAACGCAAGTAAGTGCTCACAAAATGTGATTAACATTAACAGATGATGCTGCAAGTGAACTACGGAAAGAGTCTCAAGAAAATTCCACCTCTTTTCTTTCATGTGTAGTGCTTTTATGCACACATAAAAAATGTAACGTTAAATCTCTTAAAATCTTCTAAAATGTTTAAAGATAATACCCTTCAATCAGGCAAACTAGAAATAAATGTTTACACCTGAAAATTTAATTCTACAAAATTAACACGTTTAATTAAAATGATGTTATAATTTGTGATCTACAGAGCACTCTACACTCTACAAATAGCAAATGCACCTAATTTATTTTTCCCCAGAAGTTTCAAAATGCCATTTCCTAAACTGGGGGAAGAGAGATTAGAAGTACAAAACACTCTGGGTTTAGAAGAGGCCCCAGAGATTAATTCCAACATTCTTATTTTACAGATAAGTAAGGCTCAATAGCAAATTAAGAAACTGATCTAAGATCCCCATCTTGGTAGTGTTTATTAGGTTTTTGCCTGAACATCTTCCCAAAGACAGGAGTGACCGTGATATACAGGCAAATACAGGCCAAATTACGCAAGTGTTTAAAGCAGTCGGCATGCAAACTTTGTCTCAAAAAACCATCTCTTGGCTCACTGCAACCTCTGCCTCCCAGGTTCAAGTGATTCTCCTGCTTCAAGTCTCCCAAGTTGCTGGGATTACAGACAGGCACCACCATGCCCGGCTAATTTTTGTATTTTTAGTAGAGACGGGGTTTTGTCATGTTAACCAGGCTGGTCTCAAACTCCTGGTCTCAACTGATCGAACTCCTGGTCTCAAGTGATCTACCTGCCTTGGCCTCCCCAAAGTACTGGGACTACAGGTGTGAGCCACTGCACCTGGCACAAACTTTTATATAAAATTCTAAACTCATTTTTATACCACACATGTTGCACATATTTTATATAGATTTTTACACAGATTGACCAACTTACTCTGATTTTGGATGCCACACTTCATACCAAGGTTGCTGCTTGACCCAAAAAAACCCCAAAGATTGAAATCCAATGCAGATGATAATCTGAGACAAAACGGAGAAGAGAAGGGCCCCAGATATAAGACCCGAAGGTGGTCTTTGTGCCACCAGTTCCTTCCAGGCAGGATTTAAACTCACTATATTGAAAAGAAAAAGAGGAAAGGTTTGTATCTACATTCATCTGTCACTACATAAGGCGTAACTAGATTCATTTAGGAACTTTAAAAATTTGTTTTTGCCTAGCAATTCTTTAATATAAAAAATCTCCAAAAACCAAGTCACATATTGTACACATTTACATAATCTGTAAAAGTAAACAGTGTAGGCTTTTTGAAAAATGCCTCAGGAATAATTTTTACATTTCTATTGAAATTCAACAGTAATATTAACAAATAAAAGTAAAACTAGGCCAGGCATGGTGGCTCATGCTTGTAATCCCAGCAATTTGGGAGGCCATAGTGGGAGGATCACTTGAGCCCAGGAGTTTGAGACTAGCATGGGCAACATAGTGAAACCCCATTTCTACAAAATAAATAAATAAACAAATAATTTTAAATTAAAAAAATAGTAAAACTAAATATAAACACAATAACTACAAAGTTGATCATCTCATATATTTAAGAGATCATTATTTTCTGAATCTTTAATTGCAAAACTAGTTAAAATAATACATACTTCTTCCTCTTACGATATTAACAATGTTTGAAGCAATATAAACATAGGAAAAACAGTTTTTAACAAGGCTTTCATTACTTATTAAGGTGGTATACAACACAAGTTTTCCACTATAAAGTTTCTATTTTTCAGCTGGGCACAGTGGCTCACGCCTGTAATCCCAGTCATTTGGTAGGCCGAGGTGGGCGGATCACTTGAGGTCAGGAGTTAGAGACTGGCCTGGCCAACATGGTGAAACCCCGATTCTACTAAAAATATAAAAATTAGCCGGGCATGGTGGTGCGCACCTGTAATCCCAGCTACTCAGGAGGCTGAGGCAGGAGAATCGCTGGGACTCGGGAGGCGGAGGTTGCAGTGAGCCGAGATCATGCCACTGCACTCCAGCCTGGGTGACAGAGCCAGACTCTGTCTCAAAAAAAAAAAAAAAAGAAATTTCTATTTTTCCCTTTGTAACTAGCACCTTGTGAAAAGATACGCTGAGACTGTGAAAATCCTGCTCCCTATCAAACTTTCACTAGTTTTATCACCTACTAAAGATAAGTGGTTCTCAACCAGAGGATTTTGTACCCCAAGGGAATATCTGGCAATGTCTGAAGATATATTTTGTTCTAATCTAGGAGACTACGGGAAAATAGGCATAAAGGACATTGTTGAGACAAATGACAAAACCTGAATATGGGTTTTGGACCAGATAACATTATATCAATGTTAAATTTCCTGATCTTCACAACTGTATTTAGTTATATAAAATAATGGTTTTGCTTTTAGAAAATATACACTAAAATTGTCAGAGGCAAAAGAGCATACTGACTCAAAACTTATTTTCAAATATTTCAGGGGAAAAAAACAATAGAGACAGAACAATAAAAAAATGGGGCAAGATATAAACAACTGGTAATAAAATAATATATTTACAAGGAATCTGGAGAGGTGTGAGCTATGTTACAATTGTTGATGTAAATTTACAAAAATTTAATAAGTCACATCAGAATTTCATACACTTTAAAAATCAATAGCAAAGCAAAATACTCACTTGTAAATACCACTACCAAAATGATTGCCAGATCAATGAAGAGAAACTGGAAGTCTCCTAGGTTACTTAAGATCTATAGAAGTAATTTTAAAAACATTATTAGGTTTTTGGAATTATTTTTATAGTGTCCCCAGGTTTTATTAATAGTTTGGATTTTCCCAATAATGACAACTTAAAAATGACACTTGGACCTGCTTAAAAATTGAAATATATGTGTCTCTGAAATTAACTATAATATATATTTACAAATATTTGATTTAGTATATTAGTATAAAAGGCATCTCCTTAAAATTCATTCAACAGGCCGGGCACCGTGGCTCACACCTGTAATCCCAGCACTTTGGGAGGCCGAGGCCGGCACATCACGAGGTCAGGAGACGAGACCATCCTGGCCAACATGGTTTTTTGGCGAAAAGAAAACACTAACATTTACTCAAAATATTCGACGTTGTAAATTAGTATCCTCGTCTAATAGCATCCCTTCTGATATTTTCTACAAATAGTAAAATGGGATAGTGTCACCATGAGTCTTTAGGATGTCAGAACACTTTGATTATAAAATCTGACAGGGTACCTGTGGCCATTGCTGTTTATACTTTTTCTCCAAAAGCAAACCATTCCCCAAATTCAACAAACCACTGTTGAAACATCTTTTCTCATTTTAACTTTTTCAATCTGCTACTCAAACTACAGTAAATTGAAGGTAAATTTATAGGTACTACTCCACATAAACAATTACTAATGGATGCACTCAAAATCAAACATATAAACTCAACATTTAATTTACTGTGCACATTAAGTGTTACCTCTGCACACAAGGTTAATACTCACAGAATACAGGAGAGTCACACTGAAGTACTGGATAATGCTGTACAATGCCATAAATTTAAACACACAGAAGGAAGTTATTAAAGCAGCACGGCCTTCCCTGTGAAAAGAAATCAAACACTGGCATATGAATAAAAGCATTTTAAACTCCTTTTCCAAACCACAACTTTATCTTGACACATGAACATCAACATTCAATGGCTACAACAAAGTGCTTATATCCACCAAAAGAACTAAACTAAATGAGGAGTAGAAATCAATCTGTTACTAATAAGTTATAGCTCAAATGTGCTAATCTGCTAATATTAAACAAATTCGCATTACTTTTTGTAATTTTCTCTTCTGTATTATTAGAGCAAGAGAAAAAGGGATGAGAAAAATTTTAATTTGTACTACCTGATAAGGTTTGGCACACAGGAAATACTAGGAGTTTTAGAGGTAAAGGGAGATGCCACTGAAGCTTCGAGCTCTGATAAGGAAATGCCTCCGTGTGCCCTCTTCAAAGCCTAATAATTTTAAGACAACTGGTTAAGTTTTGTGAATATGATTTAGGCTACAGTAAGAACTACAAAAGTAAATCACAAAAACTATACTTACGCCACAATCATTTGCACCATCACCACACATCCCAACAAAATAACTAAGAAAAAAAACAATGTTAAGATTTTAATTAATTTCTTAAACTACAAAACATTTACCTTATTAAGATTTTTTTATTACAGTATTATAAAGAGCTAACACACCAGGATTCCCCCAGTGGAACTACTGAATCTTTTTACTATAATGGACACAGGTGTGCTGCTTTGCAAACAGCACCAGACCGCAAGTGAAATGAGCTAGGTTATTGTCCTATTTCTGTCACATTATTGGCAAATCATTTTGGTGTCTCAATTTCCTCATCTTTAGAGCAAAGTGCTTGTGCCTACAGTCTTTAGTATGGCTACTTTTAAAGTTATCAGTAAAAATTTATCCCTTAATAACCTGAAACATAACTGTTTACTAAAATGATTAGCCACTTCTATCAAGATAGAACACCCGAAAGAATGAAGTCATAGGTAGCACCTGGAGAAAAAACTGTGGATATTGTACTTTAGCTGAATAAAAAGCATATGAGACTTTTTAAAGAGGCACTTAAAGTTCTCGTCTACCTTACAGATCACAATTATATAAATATGAAATATTAGTATAAGAAACATATATAAAAATTATTTTTCTGATGCTGAAATGAAACCATAGTTCATAAAAAACCAAAAACAAAAAAGACACCAATGCTTACTCAACATTTTGCAATGCTTCTATCAACTGTGTCTTCTGATCAGGTGCCATACGAGCAAACACGGTGCCATGCAACATCAACTGGAAAAAAATCAAATAAATTTCTTAAAAATATTGTTCACGATGTAGTCATGTGAACACATACATACACCCAAATTACTTACCTTAGGAACAAGGTCTTGAAAATGCTCCAGTATCACTGAAAATGATTTTCCATTCATTGCAAAATGATAACGAGTCATTTGAAGATCCTCTAAGCTATCATGGACCAATTTAACTGGAATAGCCTGTGTATGAGACATTGGGAACAATATTTAGGCAGCCAAACTAAGTAAAACAATTCTATTTTAAACATATTTGTTCTAAAACTGAATTCTTTCATTTGATATGTTCCACAACACACTGAAAGCCTGACATTTATTCAAAGTAAAAAGAAACTCAATTAAATATCAGTTTCAATTTGAAACGATGCATGAACTGAGTATGATGGACCACCTGCATCATTTACCACTAGTTATTTGAAGAATATGATAAACATCTGGAATTCTTACACTTTAAAACTATGCTTCTCATCTCAGCTAAATATCAAAATTTGAACATTGAGATTCCTGGGTCTGCCCCAGTCCTAATGAAATATAATCTCTGAAAAAATAGCCCAGACTTCTATTTTCATTTAGTTTTTGCTTTACTGTGTTTTAACGCACCACTTTTTTTTTTTTTTTCCAGACTAAATTTAAACCAACAAACTTTAAAAGGGACAATCAAGTTTGACCTTACCTCTGAGGCAATTGCTGATGGATGACTGCACTGTGTGAGGGAGTCTGCATAATGCCAATTTATTTTGGCAACTTTCCCATCCTTTGGAGGTAATGCTTCAGCAATAATCACTTTATCCTGAGGTAGAATCATTCCACAGTCTCTGGCCACAGAGACAGCAGTCAACATATTGTCACCTAATTTTCAAAGTATTTTAAATGCATTAAAATTAAAATGGAAACGTGAACGTATCAAACAAGTACTTGCTGAGAATCTACTACAGTCTCCATGACTGGGCTGGCGGAATAACGATAATGTATGGTTCTTCCCCTTAGAGTTTAAAAATCACAAAATTGGAGCGTACTTATCAAAAGAAGCCTCAAATAATGCAAGCTAAAGACAACATCTCATCCACAATTCTTAAAGCCAAATACAATTCTCAGTCTTTTCCAGTCATGCACTATTTGTATCTACACAATACCTGGCACAGTGCTACACACAGAGCAGGTGGCTCAGTAAGTATTTACCGAAATAACTTTGTAGTGACTAGTGGTCTGTGCAAGAACACCAGCACTATGCCATAGGAAAGGATGAATTACAAAAGCAAGATTATACAAAACAAAAAGTTAACAAAGGTAATAAGAACAGATGTAAATGAGAAACAAGAGAGACAACTTCTCAGTCATGAGAAGAACAGAAGAGCAGCAAGGACAGGATCTTAAAGGAGAAGCAGGCAAAGGTTTGTGGATCCCACTGCTACCAAGACCAAGATATTTCTTTCCTCAATTTCCACACATTATTTCCAAGAATATTTTCCTATGACTTTTGGTATACAAAGCCATATTCTGGCAAGGGAAAAAAAAATTTAAAACAAATAAATAAAAGAGGAGGACGAGGAATGGGTGAAAAGTGCCTTGACAGAGAAGACACAAGAACTAAGAATTGCTGGGATGTTAACAGACTTAGTTATCTTCAGTTATACGGTAAAATTATGTTATTAGATAGATCTCAAGAGTCTAAAACACAAAAATGTATAGACTTTCTCCATACTAGTCTTACTGAACACGTAAGTGCCGTTAAGTATCTTAAATCTGATTATCGGCTAAGGAAAAAAACAAAAACCAGCTACCACAATTTTACACAGCTAAGGAGTAACAGTCATCTAATATTATTAACAGTAGAGTAACATCAGGAGAATCCCTTAGATGTACTAGAAAAAAAACAAAAAGTAGGCTACTTCACTAGAATTCAAGCTAGGGTAATAAACAATATCTCACATATAAAAATTTCATGCTATCAAATATCTATTAATCATTTTCTATGTACTTGACAGTTCTAAAAATTGCAAAGGACCCCAACATGAGTAAAACATAATCCTAACCCTCAAGAATCTTATATTCTAGTAGAGAAAACAAATCTACAAATAACACAAGGTATAATAAGTGCTATAAGAAATACATGAATAAACAGAGAAAACAAAAAGGAGTCAAGTTTAAATTTTTACAATGTACTTTTACTATTCTACTATATTTTCTATAAATAGGATTTGGTAGACCTCAAAAAGAATACGACGAAGTTATCTCGCACTTGGGAAAATATTCAGAGCTAAAAGAGAACTTAGGTTGAAACCACTAAAGAATATATAATATTATTTTATAACTGATTATCCCTCAATATTATATAACTTCAACTCTGTCACACTCCATTTTGTTCTGTGTTCTTTGATAAAGTCTAACCTGTGACCATGACGGTGCGAATGTTGGCTTTATGCAAATCTTCAAGTACTGCAGGGGTTTCTTGCTTTAATTTGTTCTGCATTATAATTAATCCCATAAAATCCATGTTGTTCTCAATTGCATCTCTGCAGAAAAAGAAGTTTTAACACATAATGGTTTAGTCAAGTGAGTAAGCAACTTATGTACACAAACTTAAAATATCTAAGCAATTAAAAATGTCTGTAAGTTATAACACAGTTTAAAATATCTATAAATTAAAACATTTTATATGCTGAATAAACCACATGTTCAGGAGTTCAATATCTCAATATAATAATCATTTGGAAATGTACGTCACTGTACACTAAACAATTCTAGTACTAAGGAATACTCATCTTGTATATTATCCAAAAATGTATAAGCATAAATATATTCTTTACTGCCCTCTACAACATATCCTAATTTAAATGTTCAGTGAAAAAGAAAAAACTGTGCCACAAGCACATTCAGTAGTTTTCGTGGATTCATTATCAAGTCTGAGATCAACTCTATAAAACAATTACTGATCCTGAAAATGTGACACAAGAACCATTAGCAATCCAACAATGAGATCTACTTGGGACTCAGAGATAGGTCTTTTAAAATATTACTAATATAGTTATCAAGATGCTATTCTTTAAATAACTGAGTATCAAGAATGCACCAGGCACTATGCTAGTCACTGGGAGGTTAAAGACAAAAAGAGATGATCTCTACTCACAAGAAACTTGGGTGGGGAAACAGAAATGCAACCAAAGAGATGCACACAAAAATAGTACGTGCTTTAGCACTATGAATAATAGTGACGTTCTTAAGAAATCTCAGGTCAGGCATGGTAGCTCATGCCTGTAATCCCAGTACTTTGGGAGGCTGAAATAGGAGGACTGCTTGAACCCAGGAGTTTGAGGACAGCCTGGGCAGCATAGTGAGACCCCATCTCTACAAAAAATGAAAAAACAATTAGCTGGGCATGGTGGCCTGTGCCTGCAGTCCCACTACGAGGAAGGGCTTGAGGAGCGAGGGTCATTTAAGGCCCAGGTGGTCAAGTCTGCAGTGAGACGGGTTTGTTCCACTGCACTCTAGCCTGAGCAACAGAGAGAGAGCCTATCTCAAAAGAAACAAACAAAGAAGGAAAACAAACAAAAAACACCTCAACTGACCTAAATTATATCATAGAAATTTTTTTCTCAATGGGGAAGGAGGAGGGTCTGAGGTCAAAGACTAGAATTTCAGACTTGGAATAACCAAACGATTTTTCTAACAAAATTCCAATAAAAGTTGCTTGAAGTATGTATCTATGAAATCTAAAATCTTTGAAACACCTAATTTCTAACAATGGATGGTAAAGACATTAGAGAATAGCTGAGAAAATTAATATAAATGAAACTGCTGGTGGTAACAGCCGGAAAAAGCCTTGAAACCTGAAACTGTATTTCAAAATGCAAAGCTGTATCAATGTGAAGACACTGTGTCAAAAGCACTAAGCCGTTTTCCTTCAGGCACTGGTTTCTGGCTTCAGCTCGTCTCCTAACTCTCTCATATCGTATGAATGATACAGGTCATGGAAATCTGATCCTCTAGTTAGTGAATAGTCCAATATTCAAGATATAAAGGCTTAAGCTATAAGGGAAATGCTAAAACCCATTCCTACAAGGTAAAATGGAAACACAGAGGTCTCAGTGGAAGGGTAAAGAAGAAAGGGAGTAGAGAAAGAGAGGAAAGTTAACAAGGAGGGACAGAGTATCCTCAGCACAAGAAACAGTCTATCCGATGGCATGGAAGGATGTCTCAAGATGACATGCTCAAGAACTATAGGCGGCTGGACGCAATGGCTCACACCTGTAATCCCAGCACTTTGGGAGGCCAAGGCGGGCAGATCACGAGGTCAGGAGTTCAAGACCAGCCTGGCCAACATAGTGAAACCCCGTCTCTACCTAAAATACAAAAATTAGCCAGGCATGGTGGTGTGCACCTGTAGTTCCAGCTACTCAGGAGGCTCAGGAAGGAGAATCACTTGAACCCAGGAGGCGGAGGTTGTGGTGAACTGACATCGTGCCACTACACTCCAGCCTGGGTAACAGAGCGAGATTTCGTCTCAAAAGAAAAAAAAAATCTGTAAGCAATTCAATAATTAGTGTTTATGGGGGAAAATGGCAAAGGCATCCATTTTCTTATCCCCTAGCACCCCTGCTAGTGTGAAGCTATAAACTAAGAAGAGACTAACGTGTCCTTAGTAGGAATTAGGATATAATATTGTACACATTTGTGGTTCCTGACATGCATATGTATCACATAATTTGGGTAGAGGTGTTTCTTTTTTTTTTTAAACTCATGCTTAGACCATCTCCCCCAAATAGGCAATTTAGCAGGACAGCCAAGTGACAGTCCTTTCTGCTTACAAAAAACTAGGTATATCATGAAGTATTCCTAAACAAAAATGTTATCCTCAAAGGTAGGTCTGTATCAGTTACAGTCAAAGTGACAATACTTGAATATGACACTGTCATTTGATGGGGGGAATGGAGAGCACTGGGGATTAGGAAAGAAATGGAGTAGAAGGAGCTTGGTCACTATGACTCATTATATTCTGACTGAATTAGTAGTTAGATCTAACCCCTGGGCAAAAGTGAGAAGATCAATTGGAGAAAATAAACTTCTATAAAATTACATTTACTGTTCTTGGAATGTGCCTGACACACAGTGGGTACACAATAATTAACAAATTGAAAATAGTTTCAAAGAGCTTTAAGAAAAAAACATATGATGTTACAATAACATAAGGAAACATAGGTCAACAGTCAATACTGAATGATCATTTAAGGCCAGGAGTTCGAGGCCAGCCTGGCCAACATGGTAAAAACCCCGTCTCTATTAAAAATATAAAAATTAGTCAGGTGTGGTGGCACATGCCTATAATCCCAGCTACTTGGGAGGATGAGGCACAAGAATTGCTTGAACCTGGGAGGCAGAGGTTGCAGTGACCGGAGACTGCGCCACTACACTGTAGCCTGGGTACAGGGTGAGACTGTCTCTCAAAAAGAAAAAAAAAAAAAAACAGAATGAAAGGAAATCAGGCAGTGGGGAAAATGTACTTTTACTTCACTCACCTAAAACGATATTGTATTAGATATCTTTTCATACATCATACATTCAACAAATACTCAATTACATGCAAATTACTGTGCATGAACGATATAAACATAAATGATGATGACTGGGAAACTAGGAAAGTCATTCAACCTCACCTGCTAATATTCTGTACTTTATGCCATGTCAGTTTTGACTCTAATTTTCTGTGTGCAAGAGCAATCACACGGAAGCCCTGTTTAGTGAAGTCTTCCAAAACGTTTTGAAAATCTACAGGAACTTTTTAAAAGAAAGAGTAAATGTCATTGTTAGAGTTGCTAATACAAGTTTACACAAATACCAGAATTTTACCCAGAGCATAGATATTTCCTTACCTGTTTCAGGTTTACAAAGACTGGCAATGACCTCGGGTGCTCCTTTCATATAGGCATCCATTTTCTTATCCCCTAGCACCCTTGCAACCACACTCATACGTTGCAAAGCAGAAGAAAATGGAAACTGGCGAACAATTCCTATCTCATAAATAGCCTATATAATTTCAAAAGATGCACAAGCACTTATTATTCTTAAAAAATCAAAACAAATATACTTAGGTAACAAGTAAACATTCTTCACTTACTGGAAGTTCAAACAGCTCCTAAAAACGAAACAAAACAAGAAGAAATAGTACAGATTAACTCTATTAACATACTGAAGTTAGAAAAAGTTTACTAAGCAACCACAAAACATTATTTGGAAAAGAAACAAGCAACTGTTTTTCAAAGTCAGGATTCAAGATTCCTTCTATACTACTTCCCATTTTTAAAAAGTGTGTTCTTAAATATTTTCAAATGTTCTGCTATTCTGAAAATATTAACATTCGAGTACTAAAATAAACAAGTGTACATACCAAAAAACAAAAAATAAAAATTAAAAAAATAATAAACTGGCCAGGCACAGTGGCTCATGCCTGTAATCCCAGCACCTCGGGAGGCCAAGGTGGGTGGATCACTTGAGGGCAGGAGTTCGAGACGAGACTTATCAACATGATGAAACCCTGTCTTTACTAAAAATACAAAAATTAGCTGGGTGCGGTGACGCGTGCCTGTAATCCCAGCTACTCAGGAGGCTGAGGTGGGAGAATCGCTTGAACCCGGGAGGTGCAGGTTGCAGTGAGCTGAGATCTCACCACTGCACTCCAGCCGGGGTGATAGAGCGAGACTCTGTCTTAAAAAATAGTAATAAACTCTGGAAAGAACAAATATAAACAGGAAGGAAAATGAATTACCCAGAATCCTGCCAACCAGTTAAACAAATAAGATAAAGTGGTGTTTATTAGAATCTTGGTAAATTTCTTGGATATGTAATAGTTATACACGTAAAAAAATTTTCAGGTAACTTAAAAAACAATAATAAACTAAGGGGAATATATTTGAAAATTCACTGAAAGTAAAGCCTTTCATACATACTTTTTATTAAATTCTAGGAATACAGATGCAATTTAAGAGGATTAACCACCAGCTGTATAAATCACAAGGCACTAAGCTGCTCAGTAAACAGGAAGGAAAAGTGATAGGACTGCAAATTAAATCTCAACATAGAGGTGTAGTTTCTGAGAAACGCAGTTAAAATATTCCTATCTCTGCATAAGAGTTAAATAAAGGACTTGTGACTTCCTCTTCTAGCAACATTTTAAAATGAGAATTAAATGTAAGTAAGCAGGCTGGGGGCGGTGGCTCACACCTGTAATCCCAGCACCTGGGGAGGTCAAGGTTGGGGGATCACTTGAGCCCAGGAGTTTGAGACCAGCTTGGGCAACATAGCAAGACCTTGTCTCTATAAAAAATAAAAATTTAAAAATTTAAAAATAAATAAGTAACCACCAACAGTTTTATTGAGCTTTAAGTGATTTCTCACCATTTCTTGGTTTCCTGCAGGGGTAGATTCAGGAAGCAGTTGTTTGGGAGGACGAACCACTGTGGGCATAATTCGATTATGAAGTGCTGTTTCTTCTTCAGTTGCTTCTTCCAGAATCTGAAAAAAAAAAAACACCAACCATTCAAGCACTGCCTCATAAAATTGAATTCATGGTTCCATTTTTAAATGGGACATTATGGCCATTTTCAATAATTAAAAAAAAAATCTATGTCCAAGGAACAAATGAGCACTACTGGATCACTAACATAAGTAAAAGAAAACGTGAACAAACATGTTGAGTTAGATAGCCAGCAACCCATGGGAGAAGGGTTGCTTCATTCAGGGTTAGAAGCAGAATAAAGAAACAGAAACTTATCTCGCTTCACTCTTACAACTTGTTGGGTTTAGAGACTAGCTCTGCAAAAGACAAAAGGTCTTGCAGTCCCCAGAATTTTCAGTCTCATCCAGTGATTCCTTTCTGCTACCAAGAAAGGATTCAAAAGTACATAGAGCTCAGATATGGTTAGCAGAACCGCTGGGTCAAAAACGGGCTAAAGTACAAAGATATGAGTTTAGAGTTTTTCAGCTTGAATACTTCTAGTTAAGCTACTACTTTGAAGAACCTTTTTTTGGTGAAAAACGTTCAAAGAAAAACCTATATTAAACACACACTATAACTAGTGGGATCAATAAATGAAAAAATGATAGGGAACTGTGAAAAATTAGTCAATTTTGGACAATTCTAAGACACTTTTTTTGTATCTTAACATCTCTAAAATTGGGGTGCATCTTGTATCATATGACATCAATCACATCAAGTCACAGTTGTGACTAGCTACGTGAAACCATTTCATTGATAAGTAAGCTCTGGTAGGATCAAGCATCAAAGCAACTCAAGGCCAGTGAAATATGCCATTATACAAATCTTCTTAATCAATTTCTTTGAAGATCCACCAATACTGAACACTAAATCTACTGAAAATCTATTCAGTTGGAGAAAAGTTTAGAGAAGAAAGATAAATCAGCCCATTTTTGTTACTCTCTCTACAAATGAAGTGAGGCCTCCTTTTTGGAATTAAATGTCAAGAGTGTTTACCGTGGACTTTCAGTAGTTGGCAGATGGAGCACTCATCCAGTCACCCTCTCCCTCCCTCCCTTTCAAAATGTGGGGAGGGAGGGAGGGGCGTGAGGAGGCAGGGAAGAGGGAGGCAGGATCCGGTAAATGTAAACAGAAAACAAACCTGCAGGAAGGGATTTCAAATATGGAAACAAAGGGCAAACTGAAACCTATGGATGGATACAAAGGGGAACGAAACAGTAGACCAGAAAAAACACAAGATACCAGGTGAGGCAGGAACATTTATCAGCCAGAATAGCTGAGCTAAAGAAAGCCAAACAAAAAGCTAGGGAGTCCTCCTCCAGAGACATAAACTGAATGTCTGACAGGAGCAAAGGCTTCTCACAGGAGGGTGAGGATTCCAGAGGACAAAGCCCCACATGTGCCAGCGTGGTGAGAATGGGTGAGGAAAGCCCCACATGTGCCAGCGTGGTGAGAATGGGTGAGGAAAGCATCGGAAAGGCTAACTCTGAAACTATTCCTCTGGAACTTTAAGAACCCCTGTCGATAAGACCCCACTAGACACACAGCAAGCACCATCCCCCACCCCCCAACAAGCCTTCCCGATCAGAGAGACACTTCTCAGAAACACTAACATACATATGGGCAAGGGTAAAAGTATAAGTAGCTCACTGCAGCTATGCAGAATTACCAAGTCAGATCTTCCTTTTTATAGTAAAAAAGTGCCATCCAGATGTACAACAAAAACCAAAAGCATGAAGGAGAGACACCAAGCATGGGGTGGGGGCCAGAGGAGACCGTAACCCCAGAGAAAATAAATAAATAATTAAGAAGCCAGAACGGAACTCTAAAAATGAACTGTCTTTGTATTTATAAAAGAAGAACTGAATGCTATAAAATGGTAACAACCAGAGAACATAAGCAGGCACTCAGAAATTAAAAGCACCAATGGCAAAAATAGAAGGAAGTTATAAACAAACACACACATGTGCATGTGTGTGGACACAGTAAACAAAAGACAGGTAAAAAAGAACAATGAAGACAGGACTTTATACTCCTTCGCCTGTGGCCAAGAAATTGTGTCAGTTAAGATCATCTTACTCGCTCTGCTCCACCGCCCCAAGTTGCTGGCCCCTGGTTTATCTCAAACACAAAGCAGGGGCCTCAGCTGGTCAACCTCTATTAAAGGAGTACTAAATGGGTTAACGAAAAGTTACTTTTGCACGATTTTAAAAATATTTCTCTAGTGATATAGCTTTAGAAATTACATAGTTCCTTTTAGGGTACAAGATAGACTGTCATTAAAACAAAAAGCAGAAATAATCCTTCCATGAGGTAATTTAATTTTTAATTATTATTTTCCTAAAGTTATTTGTATTTTAAAATATTTGACTTACCCATCCAATGGCCTCAAACATTTTCAAATCAAGTGGATCACCAGAAAGCACTCCTTCAATTTTTGTAAGTGAATGACAAGTAGCCAAACAAGCAACAAACTGGGATTTTACCAACATCTCATTGCACACATTTTCTTCTGGTGAAAGAAATCTAAGCAGAAGATACACTGAATTAGTTTCATAAATCCTAAGATTCAAGATAATATTCTAATAGGGCTTTTCTAGTTTTGTAATTTAAAATATATATATATTTTAAATCCCAAACTGAGCTTCTAAGAAAGAGAAACTGCCAAGTGCCAGAAATAGTGGGAAAAGAAAACCAGAGGGGTAACGAACTTGAGCTGATGCTATGGCTGCTGAGGGGATGAAGGTAGGAGGCCATCTCGGTAAACTAAGAACTTGGGATTTAATACCCACAAAAGGACAGGAAACCAAGTTGGCCCCATGCAAAGTGGGAAGCTGGTACTGAAAGGATCCCTCCGACTTAGGAAAGTCTACTCTTGAAGAGCTACATACTCTTGGGAAAAGGGCTGACGAGAAAAAATTCACCCACAGACCTAAAGGCATTAATTATGAATAAGCTTGTCTATTTCCTCACCCAAAGTCCAAGAAAATAGCTAGTATCTGCATAATATTTACTATGAACCAGGCATTATTCTAAGAACTTTAAATTTATTGACCCATTATCCTCACACTATACAAACAAAGGTGTTTTATTACCCCCATTATAGATGAGAAAACTGAAGCAGGGTGTTTTAAGTGACTTGTCCCAGGTTACACAGCCCATAAGTAGCACAGCAAGGATTGAAACACAGGAGGTCAGTTAAAGCCTGTATGACACCGTTGATTACCACTGGGGCTCTTAGCCAAGCAAAGTCAGAACTTCTCCAGAGGGGAGCTCAAAGAAAAATTCTGTTAAGAATGAGTCCATAATTTAAAGATGTGCTAGCAAGCAATTCACCAAGAGTGTCAACAGACATAACAAAGACAGAATTAGAATCCTAATAAATTTGGCCAGGCGTAGTGGCTGATGCCTGTCATCCCAGCGTTTTGGGAGGCCAAGGCAGGAGGATCATTTGAGGCCAGGAGTTCAAAACCAGTCTGGGAAATATATCGAGACACCCATCCCTATTTTTAAAATAAAAAAATAAAGAATCCCATAAGTTTAAGATAACAGAATGGCAAATCTGAAAGAATGCAAAAAGGGCATTTTAAAATTAGACTTAGAAAAAGAATAAGACACTGTAAATGCGAGAGTGGGGGTGGGAGCAGACTTGGAAAGAACCAAGTAAACTGTCTCGTCCAACACACAGTTAGGATTCCCAGAAGGAGAGAAAACAAAACACAAGGAAAAGGTCATAATGCCAGTAAAAAAGGCCTGAAAATTTTCCAGAATTTATGAAAAACATGAATGTGTGAAATCAAGAAGCTTCATGAATCCTGTACACACAAATAAAAAGATCATGGTGAATCTGCAGAAATTAAGGGTGAAGAAATATTCTTCAAGCAACCAGAGAGAAAAAAGATTACTAAAGACACTAAGATTTATCAGTACCAATTAACAAAAGGTATCAAGAGAAATGAAATCACACGTTCAAAGTACTGAGAGAACACAAGTGTCAAACCTAGAAATCTGTACAGTTACACGATCACCCAAGAGTGACAGTGGGCTGCTCTGCCTATGGAGGAGCCATTCTTTATTCCTTCACTTTCTTAATAAACTCTCTTTCACTAAAAAAAAAAAAGAAAAAAAAAGTGACAGTGAAACAAAGCAAATGAATGTAGTTACAGAAGATGGCAATTTATACAAGATGCAATGGTTAAGATATTTCTATACCTAGGTAAATCTAAGCATGCAGAATGTGCAAGACCAAAATCATAATCAGAAAATATTATGCAACAAATACATATAGGAAGGGAGGAGAATAACCAAAAGTATTTTACAGTCCATAGGTTTGTTTTGGGGGACAGGGGGTTGGTTAAAAGGCAGTATTGACACTCATGAACTTTAAGTATAAATATTGATAATGTAAGAACAAGCAGTGTAAGATTAGGAAGCATAAACTGAGAAAAGGAGAGAAAAAATGAGAATATGAAAATGTGTATGTAAATTGGGGAAGCAATGGTAGAAATAATTTCAAATATATCTGAATAAATGTGCACATCATGGCACAGAAAGACTGAAAAGTAAACAGGTGACAAAACACATACTAGGCAAACATCAGGCAAAAGAAAGCTGGTATAGAGCTACATAATTATAAGACAACAGAGAATTGAAGGCAACATGCACTACTAGGGATAAGAAAGGTCGCAATGTGACACACTATTTTCCAAGACATAACAACTCTTGAAATTACATTAGCCAAACAATACTGTCTCTCAAGCTATATAAACCAAAATGTAGCAGACTTTTGGGGCAGAGGAAGACATAAACAAAACTACTGGAGTAAAACTTTTGAGCTTCAAAAAGCAACAGAAACAAAAGTAAAGAGATGAGCCAGAGACTAGTGGGATAATTTTCAATACACAGTATTGAAAAAGATTACTATCCAGAAAATAAAAAAGACCGCTAACAAATAAATAAGATAGACTTCACATGAGGATATAAACACACAATACACAGAAGAATGCTAAGTGACCCTCCCTCCAAAAATGTGAAAAGATGCTCAATTTTATAAGAAACGAGAAGAATGTAAGTAAAACCACAATGTAATACTCATATCCATCCATCTGGCAAAAATTACAAGTCTGACAATATCAAGTTTGGCAAGAATGTGGAGCAAAAAGATCTTTCTCCACTGAAAGAGAAAGTAGAAGTAAGCTGAAGCCGTACCCATGCTATGGCCCAGCATTTCCATCTACAGGGATCGAGCATACTGAAACTCAGCCACATGCCTTCCAGTTGTGTGTTTAAGAACTTTAACTGCAGCACCATTTGTAACAGTGCAGACAAAAAAGAAGAAAAAACAGAATTGTCCCTTAGTAGAAGGTCAGACAAGGTTTAATCATACAATGGAATAAGACAGAGCAGTTAAAATTGATAAACTAGATCTGCACATATCAACATGGATAAATCCTGAAAACAACGTTTAGAGAGGGGAAAAAAGCAGCAAAACATATGTACAGTATATCATTCATGGATACTTATTTATAGATTTATACTTAGAAAAAATATAAAATACGCAAAAATAATTTCAGAATTGCAGTAAGAATTGGGGAAGGGATAGAGTGGGACTTTGGCAATTTCTGTAATATTTTAATCTTTTAAAGGAAGAGATCTGAAGCAAATATGGCAACATGTCCACAGTTTAATCCTGGTGTGGGTACACAGTTGTCTGTTACATTACTTCCTTTATGTTTGAATGTTGCATATGATACAATATTAAAAATAAACTAATAAACTATCAAGTCTAACTAATATTTACCGTGCATTTTCCACTCGTTGAATCCCCCAAAGATCTAAACCATCTTCAGTTAGAGTTCCAGTCTAAAAAACAAAAAAGTACACATGCACAAAGTATGGATGATGCCTCAAAAAAACCCAAAACAGAAAAATAAAAAACCACCACACAGCATTAGAAACTATGCTACACATAACATGATGGAGTTCTACAGAGTTAAAAAAAGAAACAGGTGAGATCCCTGATAGAGAATGGCTTCCAGGACATATGGCTAAAGTGGGAAAGGGGGTGCAAACAACGCTCACAAGTCTTCTACGTAAGGGGAGAGGGGTATATATTTATGTGCTTATACTATCAACAAAAATCAATGGAAGGCTGCATCAATTAACCTATCTTATCAATCAATAAAGGATGCCCATAAAGGAAGGAAGGATTACTGTACAGGGAGAGCCAAGAGGAACAGGTTAAAGTCTATCAGGAGGAAGCAATTGGCCAAATCCACAAGGTAAATGACCTGGTTTCTTCAACAAAATAATTGGAGATAAGGGGCAAGTAAAGGCAAATGTTACATGTTAATTGTAAGCAATGCAATCCCTATTTGGATTCTGACTGAAAAATCAATTAGTAAAAACTTGAGATTTGAGGAAATCTCAACTGGATATTAGAAAAACCAAAGAACTGCTAATTCTGTTCAATGTGATAGTGGTATTTTAAATATCTTATCCTCTAGGCACATATTGAGGGAGTTATGGGTGAAATAATTTGTCTGATGTTGTCCCCTTCAAAATGAGCAGATAGATAAAATAAGATGGACAATGTGTTGATAACTGATAAAGCTGGGTAATGAGTAAATGAGGGTTTATTATACATGCATCTTTTCTCCACTTTTGTCTGTTTAAAAATTTTAGTGAAGTTTCCAAAAAAGACAAGCATAAGTGAAATTTCTTGAACAGATAAATATGAAATAATCATGGCAGTATGTGACATATATTTTTCTAACAGAGCATGTTTCCCATTTTTTCTGTAATAATGAAATGCACAAAAATCAAACTCATATCACATCAGTTACCCAGAAAGTTTGATAGAAGATTTTTTTGGTCAAAGTTTAATTCTCAGAAAACTTTAAAGAAAATTCCAGCTCAGAAAAGGAGAAACCTTTCTTTTCTTTTTTTTTTTTGAGATAGAGTCTCGCTCTGTCGCCCAGGCTGGAGTGCAGTGGTGCGATCTCGGCTCACTGCAAGCTCTGCCTCCCGGGTTTACACCATTCTCCCGCCTCAGCCTCCCGAGTAGCTGGGACTACAGGCGCCCGCCACCTCGCCCGGCTAGTTTTTTGTATTTTTAGTAGAGACGGGGTTTCACCGTGTTAGCCAGGATGGTCTCAATCTCCTGACCTCGTGATCCGCCCGTCTCGGCCTCTCAAAGTGCTGGAATTACAGGCTTGAGCCACCGCGCCCAGCCGAAAGGAGAAACCTTTCTAAGAGGCAAGATATACTTCACACAGGTACATAATTTGTCATTTTCACATAAAATCAGTGACCTTCATAATTCTGAAACATATTCAATAAAATCATATGGCAAACACTAAACATACACACAAGCCAATAAAATCATAATAAATATATGTGTATGGAGCCTATTGTGTTAAATAAGAATTACTATCCAAAAAATTAAAGATCACATAATCTTTACTACTACTACTACTAATACTACTACTGGGCCTAATTCTGGATATAATCAAGTCAACTGCAGCTCTGAGCAAATAAGCAATATCCAAAGTATTAAAAATTGAGAAAATAAGAAATACAGCATGTCCTCAAATACTACTTTTTGTTCGTTTTTTATAACACGATGGGGGCCAGTGGTGGGGAGAGCTGAGGCCCAGCCGCGACCACTATCTACATGGAGTTTGCATGTTCTCTCCCTGTTTACATGGGTTTCACTCCAGGTACTTCGGTTTCCTCCCACATTCAAAGCCATGCAAGTTAAGTGAACCAGCATATTTGAATGGTCCCCGTCTGAGCGAGTGGGAGTACACTCTGCGATACGATGGCATCCTGTCTAGGGCTGATTCCTGCCTTGTTCTACCAGTTGCTGAGATAGGCTCCCACTACCCATGAGCCTAAAATAAAACAACTGGGTAAATAATTACCTTACTTATTTTTATTTCTTTCTTAAATAAATGTATAGCTCATATTTATTTCAATGATTAGTATCACAAGTGTTTTAGATCCTTATTTAGAAGTTTGGTGATTTTCTGTTACCAAAATATGGCATAGGAACTGAAATCTCATTTGTATCAAGTAGCCTATGGTAAAACTGGTTTCATTTCATTGAAAGTTGCAATTTCCAAGAACCTATCAGTAATGTTAAGTGACAACTTATGGTATAGAAATATGATGCATATACCAAGTAAGTTGAGGAAAAGGAAAATTAGAGGAACATGACAGAATGTGTGCAAATTTGCTGACAAAGAAAATAAAAAACATTGATCTAAATATTTAAATGCTATAAAGTAACCTTTGAAAGTAACTATTAAACTGAACCAACCTTGTCAAAGCAAACAAGATTCAGCTGTCCACAAATATTTATTCTTTGGGGACTGATACAGAAAATACCGATTTTTTTCAGTCTTCTCTGAGCATACACAATACCAGCAGTCATTGCAGCAGGAAGTGCGGGGGGCACAGTGATTGTGATAATATCAAGAGACTCGATAATTATGACCCCAACTTCTACCTACAATTAACACAAAAATAAATGTCAAACCCCCAATATTATTTGCTGATTTAATATGGGTATTTCTTTAGTGAAAATCTGTAAGTCATTTTCAATTGTGAATTTCAATGTTATGTGTGTGTGTGTATATATATACATATCTATTAACCATTTATAATTTTTTCTTCAGATATTTCTGCAAAATAAAAAAGCTCAATGAATTATAGAATGACAACTACTTTCAAAAGAAACTTATCTCATTTTCATAGCGCTACATACTTCACACATGACATACTTCAAAGCCGGTCAACAAGCTTTATCAGATATTGACTCAGCATGCACACACGTTACTGTGCCAGTCTCCACTTCTGACAAGCGGCGCCTTCAATTAAATAATCAAAAATCATTTTAACACTGTATATTACATCTCAGAGGTAAAAAAGAGAAAATAAACCTTTTGGTGAGTATGTGGGGTTTTTTTTTTTAAAGTCACAAGACCAAGTAAAAGATCATCTAAACCAGAGCCATCCAAAAGAAGTGTCCTTTATAATGGAAATGTTCTATAGCTGGACTTTCTAATATCATAGCTACTAGTCTCACGACTGTGTTAGCATTAAATTAATTAAAATTAAATTAGTTTAAAATTTCAGTTCCTCATTCTCACTAGCCACATTTCAAATCCTCAATAGCCATATGTGATAAATAATTGAGGTTCAAACCGTATTAAGAGTCCCACATACATACCTCATTTAAAATGCTATTAATAATAGTATAGATAAATCCAATGCCAGCAACTGCCACAAGACATAGTAGAAACAAGTAGGCATCTCTGTAGAGTTTAAAATCAGTTGGTTTGGGATACAATATGGAACGAACAAGCTGTCCTTTGGAAGTACTAAATCCTATCAAGAAAAGAAGAGAATTATTTATATTTTTATAAGAAAATGAGAATTATCTCCCATAACAGAATCTCTTTTATTATTTATTTTTTTGAGACGGAGTCTCGCTCTGTCGCCCAGGCAGTGGTGCAATCTCGGCAATCTCGACTCACTGCAAGCTCTGCCTCCCGGGTTCACGCCATTCTCCTGCCTCAGCCTCCCCAGTAGCTGGGACTACAGGCGCCCGCCACCTTGCCCAGCTAGTTTTTTGTATTTTTTAGTAGAGACGGGGTTTCACCAGGTTAGCCAGGATGGTCTCGATCTCCTGACCTCATGATTCGCCCATCTCGGCCTCCCAAAGTGCTGGGATTACAGGTGTGAGCCACCGCGCCCGGCCCAGAATCTCTTTTTAAACATTCAGTAGGTATCAAATATGCTGAAACATGCAAAAAGAGATTAATTAAGGGGTTTCCTACCTGTTCTAACAACTATGGCTTTGACGAGTTCTCCGGTGTAGAAACGAGTCTGAATAACAGTTGTCCCACAAAACAAAGTATGTCGTTTATGTGTTTCTGGATTATACAATTCATCTCCTATTCCTTTCACATCCACCGAAGGATTTGGCAAGTTAGTCTTTGTCACTGGAACACTTTCTCCTTTAAAAAAAAAAAAAACAGTTTACAGTTATTAAACGAAAGCACAGGAATCAGTATCAAACACCAAAAAATATTGTTAAATATTTTAAATGCTACTATACTGTTTACAACAATCACTAAGAGTTGTATATGTGGATAACATGACTTAATTTTTTGTCTACCAATTTCCTCACAGAGAAATATCAAATATTATCTTCCACAATAATTCCAGAAAGTGATTTGTGGCTCAAAGGTAGTATTTGTTTATATTTAGAAACAGTTGTGTTGTTCAGTTTCAAATAATTTCAAAAAAGATTAAGTAGTTGCTACAGTCCATGCACCTGTTTTCTTATCTCTAAGAACTAACGGTAACAGTGGAGAGCACTGTACAAAAGAGATGTGAGGGCCTACCCCTGACCCACCCCTACACACACACACACACACACACACACACACATACACACACACAGAGAACAGAAAAGACAGGCAAAAAAGAGATGTGAAAATGAGTAACATGGTGGTTCTCTCAAACAACTACAAACAAATTTTTTTTTAAATTAATTCTCTGTAGCATTCACATTTCTTGCTTCAAAGACGGCATGTGTGTCAGATATGTAAAAGTTTGTGTGCGAGATATGTATGTGTTTGTGTGTTTTAAGACATGACTTAACAGTCTCAAAATGTATTACATATAAATCATTTTCTAACCAGACTATGACAATTAAAAAAAAAAACTCACACGATTAAAATAAGATATTGGACAGGCACAGTGGCTCATGCCTGTAATCCCAACACTTTGGGAGGCCAAGGTGGATGGATCACTTGAGGCCAGGAGTTTGCAACCAGTCTGGCCAACATGGTAAAGCCCTGTCTCTACTAAAAATGCAAAAATTAGCCATGCATGGTGGCAAACACCTGTTAGTCCCAGCTACCTGGGAGGCTGAGGCATAAGATTTGCTTGAACCTGGTAGCAAAGGCTGCAGTGAGCCAAGATCGCACCACTGCTCTCCATCCTGGGTGACAGAAAAAGGCTCTGTCTCAAAAAAAAAAAAAAAAAAAATCAAGCTCTATCTCAAGACCATGAATTTCCAAAGGGAAGTCATTTTAAAGTCTGTATCTCCCCAGTTCAAGAAAAATATAAAAATCTTTCTTTATTCCCACTTTTTACATTTCAAATGGGGAACCAAATACTGTAAGCCACATTCTCTGTGGGAAGAGGCCTTCTTTCCACTTCCCTAACCATAAACCATTTCCTAGGGTCCAAAGAGTAGCCGGAGTCAGGCCAAGAGATGTGACCAACACTATAGCACAGTATCTAGTATTGCAGCTGAGTATAATGCAGAATTTGGTCTACTCAGAATTTTAAATCTCTAATATCCAATATACTCATGAGTAAAGACACAAATGACATAGCTAATTTTGAAAAGGCTTAATCAGTAACTACTTAGTCATGATATATCATAAACAACTCACGTTGATATTTACTCATTTAGTTTACCTGTTAACATGCTTTCATTTACAATGCAGGTACCATTAATAAGTACAGCATCGCAAGGCATTATTGTCCCATTTAATGGAATGACCATGACATCTCCTGGCACAAGGTCAGTAGAAAAGATTTCTTCTATTTCTGAATTTAAAGAAAGAAAGAAAAATCTGAAAAAGATATTCTTTACTTTGGAAAAATACAGCAAATACTATTCAGAAGTCATCTGATCTCAATAAGAAGTTAATAATGTAACGGGGCAAAATAGAGAAATCCAATAAATGGCAAGTTTTAACAAATAAGATTATTAGGCTAACAAAAGCATGGTGTGTCAGCTAGTCTCCTGCTAGGATACCAACTGTGCACAGGTGATGCCAAGTACCCTCTGACGAAGCGAGTAAGTGTGTTTCAACATTCATGATAACTGTCCATGATAAATGTTGACTATTAGCCTAAGGAAGAGACACAATGAGTACACAAAGGAGATTCCTGTGAAACAGGTCACACTAACTCAGATTTCTATAATCCCCTGAAAACAGAAGGAAGCACTAGAAAACTTGGCATATTTTCTTTTCAACAGCGTATCTATATTCCTTTTCTCATTGCTACTATTTATAACCTTCAAGTCTCACTGCCTCCTCAATATTCCTAAATTACTTTTTTTAGATATTATTTTAAATATGAGTAAATTCATTAAATAAATTAAACACTGTATATTTTATCTAGTTCATTATTTCCTTACAAATTTAAGTTAGTGAAACACTTTTTTAAAAGATCTTCCCTCTGGTTGAGTTGGTGTTTGAAAAAAAGAAAAATGAAAATGAAAAGATTTTCCAAAGGGTAAAAAGGTTTTCTTTAGAGTCACCTTATATGTAGGTAGGTATTCTCTCTCTTTTCCTCCATTCTCTAACACCCTCCCTCTCCCTGCCCAAGTTTAATACTATGCTCAGAAGACAGTCACACTAGTTTATAAATGGAGATGGATGAGAAGAAATCTATTGTTTGTGATGTTAGCCTGGAAGACAAATACTCTCTTTCCTTCTTTTAAAAAAGGAAGTAATTTACTAAATTATGAGGGAAAAACTTTTAAAGAATGACATTTAGTACATAGTAGATATATCGATCTTCATTTAAAAACTAAGATCCCTTCTTTTAAAAATTTGGTTTTTCTTTAAAAAGAAAATAAACCATTCCTCAGACGGGAAGAAAAAAGTAAAAATTTGACTTTTCTTAAAGCTTTTAAATGCCACTTGGAAGTTCTACTCCTTTTAGGTGTACCAGAAAACAAGGTATCAATGAGATGTAAGACTATACAGAGTGGGTAAGGAAGATTCAAGTTGAACGGTATCTGCCCTAGCATCCCCAGTATCTTCAGCAACAGCAGAATAAGAAGAGGAAAGGCATCAGTAAGCTACACATCTTAGACTTCAACTAAGGGAGGCAGATCTTCCCAGCTAGAGTAGCAGGTGGCCGGGAAGCACAGGGAAGGAAGCAATCTCTTGGGTGTAGTTTGAGTCAAGAAAATGGAGACTGATTTGGTGTTCTGAGTAAATCAAAGTGGCTTCTGCCTCCAAGGCCCATGATGCTGTGCTGCCTCCTTTACCTCTTCAACATTTTGCCAGACAAGTTACATGTCCAAAACATTACCCTTCTTACAAGTCTACTTCTCTTCCAGAGTTTCCTATTTAACTAAATAGCACCAACATCCATCCACCTAGCCAGACACCGCTCCACGGCCTCATATACAATGAGGTAAATCCTGTTCAACGGTGACATTTCAGTATCTTTCGAACTCATTTCTTTTAATCTCCACAATCCCTACCTTGATTCAGGGTGGGTGGGGCGGGGGGGGTCATGCCTTCAGTATTACTCTCCTTTAAACCAGTCTGAATGTGGACACCAGAATGACTTTTTTCCAAAGGGCACGTACTTGATCACTCCTCTGCGTAAAACCCTTCGATGGCAGCTATGCATAGTGGCTCATGCCTGTAATCCCAGCACTCTGGGAGGCCAAGGCGGGCAGATCACTTGAGGCCAGGAGTACCAGACCAGTCTGGCCAACATGGTAACACCGTTTCCACTAAAAGCACAAAAATTAGCTGGGTGTGATGGTGTGCATGCCTGTAATCCCAGCACTTTGGAAGGCCGAGGCGGGTGGATCACTTGAGACCAGGAGTTCAAGACCAGCCTGGACCCTATTTTTACTAAAAATATAAATACTGGCTGGGCGTGGTGGCACATGCCTGTAATCCCAGCTACTCAGGAGGCTGAGGCACAAGAATTCCTTGAACCTGGGAGGCGGAGGTTGCAGTGAGCCAAGACTGCCACTGCACTCCAGCCTGGGAGGGAGACTCTATCTAAAAAATAAAATAAAAATAAAAATAAAATAAAAATAAAAATAAAAAATAATAATACCATTCAATGGCTTTCCACTGTCTTTTGGACTGAGCCCAAATCCCTAACATGTCTCAGAGAGCTAGCCATCATTTATAGTTGCTATATTTGTCATACTAAATTTCTTCTTTCAATTCTCACAATGTCCACACAATCTCTAATTTCTAGGCCTTTGGGTATTTAGAACACTCTTCTCTCCTTCTCTCGGCCTCCCCTTATCAACTTCTCACCTACCTCTTATTTGGCTAATTCAAATAATCACCACTGAAAAGCACTTAATCAAAGATGTCATCCCTGATACCTACAGTAAATGAGCTCCTCCTAATATATAAGTTGGCTGACTTCTCCTTATCATAGCATTTATCACACTTCACTGTTACTGTTACTATTGTTATCCCTACACCGAATCCCCAGAGCCCAGCACAGTGCCTGTTACATAGAAGAAAAATACAATTTTATATAAATAAATGAATTTGATACAAACTCAGGAACTGAAATATATACTTTTAGTTCTTAAAAAAATGAATATATGTGCAAGGCAGAGTGGCTCAAGACTGTAATCTCAAGACTTTGGGAGTCTGAGGCAGGAGGATCTCTTGAGCCCATGAATTCAAGGCGAGTATGGGCAACACAGTGAGACCTCGCCTCTCTAAAAAAAAAAAAAAAATTTAGCCAGGCATGGTGGCACAAGCCTGCAGTCCCAGCTACTTGGGAAGCTGAGACAGGAGGGTAAGTTGAGCCACTGCACTCAGGCCTGGGCAACAGTGAAACCCCATCGACTTAAACAAAAAAAAAGGCCGGCTGCAGTGTGCAGTGGCTCAAACCCGTAATCCCAAAACTTTGGGAGGCCCACGTGGGCAGATCACTCAGCCCAGAAGTTTTGAGACCAGCCTGGGCAACATGGCAAAACCCTGTCTCTTAAAAAAAAAAAAAAATACAAAAATTAGCTGGGCATGGTGGCATGCACCCGCAGTCCCAGCTACTCGGGAGACTAAAGTAGGAAGATTACTTGAGTCTGGGAGGTCAAGGCTGCAGTAAGCTGAGATTGCGCCTTTTCACTGCAGCCTGAGTGACAGAGACACTGACTCAATCGACTGATCAATCAAAGAATATATATGTATTAAACTTTGGGCTTACTTCACACATTATGCCTAACAGGTATCTTTTTTGATTTATTCTTCCAATATTCACTTCAATTACTTACCTTCATTTACTCTACAAACTGAAACTCTTACAGTACTATGAGTTGCCACCATGTCATGCAACATAACATATTGCTGAAAGAGGAAAAAGAAGTTAAAAACTAGCCAATATGAACCCACTCAAGAAAAAAGCCAGAGTGCTAAGAAATAAGTTAATTCAATAAATGTATATCACTCCATCATTATAAAATGTTGAGTCAGAAATTCAAATTATTCATTGTTGTAGTTCAAGACAAAACAAGAAGCACTTTTAACAGGATAGCCCTGAAAACAGTACCTTCCAGTATTCCAGTCTGTGATCAGCAACCACAGATCCCTATGGCCTCTAGACAGTCAAGTGGTAGAGTCGTGACTCTAAAAAGCACCTGCCATCCCCAACCTCCTACCCCGAAAACAAACAAAAAAGGGAGGGGGAGAAGGAACACATATTCATGCAACTAAAATAATGACTGCATTGAGAATTTACGTTGTGCCGAGTACTATTCTACACACTTCAGATGTTATTACAAAATACAAACAGAGTTGTGAAACCCATAATAAACTTGAACTTACCTTTCTAATGGAATACAGTGAGCTTACGATTGATACTATGGACATAACCACAATAGCTAGAGCATAGTAATAGTATTCATCAGTGCTCCACAGTATAACACTGAACAGCTGGAAAATGTAAAATGGGTTGAGAACCTAAAAAACAAGATTTTAAAGTCAAACTGAATGAGATATTAATGACCACACAGATTGTCCACCTTTTCATGTGACAATTAACCAAAAAGATACAAATACGTACAGGATAAGTTTCATAGTATTCTACAGCAAAATGTACTTCCCTAAAAAGTAGGGCAGGCTGGGTGCGGTGGCTCACGCCTGTAATCCCAGCACTTTGGGTGGCTGAGGCGGGCAGATCATGAGGTCGGGAGATGGAACAATCCTGGTTAACATGGTGAAACCCTGTCTCTACTAAAAAAATACAAAAAAATTAGCCAGGCATGGAGGCGGGCACCTGTAGTCCCAGCTACTCAGGAGGCTGAGGCAGGAGAATGGCATGAACCTGGGAAGTGGAGCTTGCAGTGAGCCTAGATCGCGCCACTGCACTCCAGCCTGGGGGACAGAGTGAGACTCCATCTCAAAAAAAAAAAAAAGAAAAAAAAGAAAAAAAGTAGGGCAATGTGCTATCATACTCTTATTATTATTAAACTACTATAATTTGGCTAAATAAGGTTAATTTAAATTACTGGCATCCATTTAGATTCATACCATCCAAATATAGACTCGGCTAGAAAAGGCTAGTAAGTGTATGATTTTAGCTATTCTGCAATCTGCTTTGGCAATAAAGTACATTTATTTCCAACTACTATGCTCTGGGCTAATAGAATACAAAACTTTTAATGAAACTGAACAAATGTTTGCTTATTATAAACTCAAAACACAAATTTACTTATATGTCAAAAGTTCACTGGAGGCCAAAGGAAAGACAAATGTGAGTTAATGAGTTATGTAACTTTGCTTTCTCTAAGATAATAAGTAAGTATTAATTCCTGAATGAAAAAGAGATAAAGGGAGCCCTTGGCAATGAACTTCATCTACCCAAATGTCATGGTATTTTATCAATTTCATTAACCACCCCCTACCAATGTCTTAAAATTGATGCTTCTGTACTTTTCAAAGCACTTTCATATATAGTTAGATATAGTCTCATTTTACCTGGAAACCAAATGAGATAATTAGAAAACACTTATCCCAAGTTAATAGCTAAAGGAGCAACAGAGAGAATGTACTAAAGATCAGAGCTAGTTACTGATAGAACCACATTACCAATCAGGCTTTCCAATTCCTAATCACTACACTATGCTATGCTCATAAGCAACATTACACGTCCACTCTCAGGAACTGATGAAAAACCATCTTCCTTCTACCACTAAAAGTGTTCACCTAACACAACTAATTCTTGAGCTTTAGCCAAAAACCAGAATGAGATTGGTGAACCTAACTCTGCTAGACATTCAACAGGTAATAAAAGCAAAACTAGACAAAATTTTAAGAATACATGCCCCAGATTCTTTCTCTATCAGAGTAAATTTCTTCGTCTTTACCTTCCAAGTAAAAATACGCAAAAAGAGGTTAGGAAAAAGAAAACCAAGAATATCTTAATCACGACTCTTTCCAAATTGACAAATCCATTGATCATGACTGTTGAGTTATATACAATAAATAGTCTTACCTCTTTAATTAGAAGCTTAAAAACAGAAGGCACTTTTACAGCAATTTCATTTACTCCATAAAGCAGTTTTCTATAACAGGAAAATACATTAATACTATTACATTATATAATAGTAGCATAATTTATGAAAAGCATTGTATTAGGTAAGGCTTAAACCACAGACTGTTCTCATTCATGTCTCCAAACACTTATCTTCTATAATTCAAACTCTCTACCTACAGAATTTAAAACAAAGAAGTCAATAGTAGATACCTATACTGGTAGCATTTAACTTCATTTTGTCTCACATCTTTATGTGTGACAAGTATCTTTCCCACTAGTCTATAATACCATGTGAGCAAAAGGTTCTCTTTTGCATCCTTGAACACACTGGATCTTAACAATTTTGAATTACAATTAACTTTTGCAAGAAACCAAATAAATTGGAGGGATCTTATTTTTTTAATACTGCACTAACAGTGTTTAGTTCAACACATTGTACATTTGACTTTAAAAGAAAATGCTTTTAAAGTTTAAATGTTTCCACTTAATTCCTTATGTTACAGTAGTATTTTCTATATGATAGAGTAATTCTTGACTTTTATGAAGTGTAAGTCTAAATGAGTGAATTTTATGTTCTACCCCTTTGAAAGAACATGCTACAGAACTGTAAGAAAATTTCTTATGGAATTTCAAAATGGCATTTATCTTTAACATATGCAATACACTGGTGTATTTTTATGATTTAACAAGGAGTAACACTATGAAGAAGATTACTTCTCCCAATTTACAATTTTTCATTACGGTGAATTTGAACTATCAATTGTAAGGCATACCATTATTATATGATCAAGAATGACACTTCACCAACTCTGTGACACATCCCAATTTCAGAGATGTCAAAAGGTAGAAAAATGTGCACCTGGGAACTGATGAAATACGGTATAATTTCAGGGATACCAATTCCAAAATATCAGCTTTCACATTTTTATAATTCTTAAACTGACAAGACAGTCTTACCCAAATAAAATATCAATAAATTCTCAACTACTATGTCTGTAATATTTAAGTATCTGTTAATATGTACAACTATATGGTAAAGGGTTGACTATGTATACTACTGCTTTCAGGAATTTTGAGAAGATCTAACTTTAGTTGGATAAAAATTACCTGTAGGCATGCATCCCCTTTGTCAGTCCTGCACTATGCTTTTCATAAATTGACGTACAAGAAACACCTTCATCCAGTCCCCTAAATAAATCCAAAGTTTTTACTTTAAACAAAGTTTAAAATATCCAAATTTCTTAACGCCTCATTTTTCTATATGCCTGATTTTATAAAGGTGTGACTTCCTTACAAATGCTTAGAAACCCTTAACAAAAATTGAGATAACAAATGAGAATTTTTAAATCTCAAATTCTTAAGATAAACAATGACAAATCTAAGTCTCAAACCCAACTTCAAAACTATTCAATGTATTTATTGCAGGATAGATGAGATGGCTCTAAATACTCAAGTTTATATAATAATATCATTATCCTTAAGACTGTGCCAAAGGTGTAATAACTAAAATTAAACTTTAAAATTTTAAGATAAAGTATAACTTGAGAATTCTAAACCAAAGATGAAAAAATTTTACTTTTTAGCTACATAGTTTCTCCTTTTCAATTTTAGAGTCAAACTAAGAATTTCTATTCATTGTCTTCCATCTCCATAAAAGCATCAGTTCAAACCCTTCCCTAATGCATACCTGGTTTGAAGTGCAGAATTTACGAGTCACAGACAATGCCTAAAATCTGTAGTAATTACAAATGGGATTCAACTAACATATCTACTTTTTCCCAAAATATCTTAATTATGCTTTTTTTTTTTTTGAGATGGAGTCTTGCTTTGCTGCCAGGTTGGAGTGCAGTGGCACGATCTCAGCTCACTGCAACCTCCGCCTCCTGGGTTCAAGCGATTCTCCTGCCTCAGCCTCCTGAGTAGCTGGGACTACAGGCGCGTGCCACCACGCCCGGTTATTTTTGTATTTTTAGTAGAGAAGGGGTTTCACCATGTTGGCCAGAATGGTCTCGATCTCTTGATCTCAGGTGATCCACTCGCCTCGGCCTCCCAAAGTGCTGGGATCACAGGCGTGAGCCACCACCCCATGCCTTAATTATGCTTATTTTAACTGAGATACCAGCTATAAAACTCTAAAGCAAAGAGAGTCTTACATATACTTAATTTCAATCCTTTTTCACATTTTCCACACTGGAAAGCTAAGCTTCATAATTCACTGCAATCAGTGGAATAAGTTTAAATTTTTAAGTTTCTATGGCTGGCAAAAGACACACAGTAAATATGTTTGACATTTCTTCCCACTGAATTTGATGACTTCTCCAGAAGGCAGCAAGGGCCAGTGCCAAGTAAAAAAAAAAAAAAATTTTTTTTTTAAACAAAATGACAGCCCATTGGCAATTTTCTTTGTTTTTTTGAAACGCAGTTTTGCTCTTCTGCCCAGGCTGGAGCAGAGTGGTGCAGTATCGGCTCACTGCAACCTCCGGCCCCCCGGGTTTGAGCGATTCTCCTGCCTCAGCCTCCCAAGCATTTGGGATTATAGCCATCCGTCACCAGGCCTGGCTAATTATTTTTTGTATTTTTAGTAGGGATGGGGTTTCACCACGTTGGCCAGGCTGGTCTTGAACTTCTCACCTCAGGTGATCCACCCACCTTGGCCTCTTAAAGTGCTAGAATTACAGGCATGAGACACTGCTTCTGGCCCAATTTTCTTTAAGGCAATAGTTCTTAATCAGGAATGGTTTTTAGAACTAGGCATGTAAAAATGCCCATGCCCATTCCAGAATGTTCCAATTCTTTAGTGTATCTGAGTAAAAAATCCAGGCATGAATATTTTATTTTTTACTTCCAATAGAAACTTACAGGTATGAATATTTTAGATGTTCATAACATGATTTTCTTTTTACCGCTAAAATTAAGAATTCCTTTGGCACTCTAAAGCAACGATATTAATGAGTATTTATAATAATCATTCTAAGAGCAATAAAATAGAATCTTAATTTGTACTTATATAACTTGAATCCTCAATTAAAAATAAAGGAATTACTACAGCTTGCCCCATTCTTTATCTACATAGTAAAATTAATTTCTATTTGCCTATTACTCTACTCCTCAAGTACCACAGGCTCCAAGTGTCAGTAAACAGGTAATGATTCAGATACTCTAAGTTAAGATACAGGCTATGAGGTATACTCAAAGTCACTTTGAGGTGCAACAGGTAAGAACTCAGACTCAGTAGACTTTGGCATCACACTGATTCTAAGTTTCATGTAAACGCTGCCATGGTGCAAGCTGCGGTGGGACTTATTTTAAAATCGCTAATGAGCCTTCAAACAGCAACAAGCTGCTGTTAATATGTGAATAGAAATTTAAAACCTCAGCAATTTTGAGTACTAGAATGGACTCTTTTCTACCTAGAATGTTTTCAGGATATTCAAAGTATAATCCAAACAAAAGGAAGATACTTACTTTAAGAAATCAAAATTGTGAATGGTATCATTCCAGAAATATTTTACACTATGATGGGTGAAATAACGAATCTGTGGAACACAAATAAATGTTACACCAAAAAGCATACTATCACTTGTGACAAGTAATCTGTTACTTCTATTAAAAGCTATATACAGGATTATATATAGCATTATATATAGTAATATGTAATATTTTATATGCATTTAAATTTATCTCAAGCATTAACTGCAAACACAAAATTATAGAATATACATGATAGCATAAAATGTAACAATTCTGATTTTTAAAGAAACTTTGACGTTAAGATCACAATACCTGTTGTGATTCAGCCTGTGAATATTTACTGATCCCGTGCCTATTTTCTCCAGTGGGATTCTCAGTTAAACAAACTGCATGGCCATTTGAAAGCTTATTAGACATAGATTTTGGACTTGAAACTGGGTGAGTTTCCAAAGAAAGAACGCGAATTTTTGCACAAAACCACATTTTGAATTCATCCTTAAAGAGAAAGGGATAAGGGTAAGGAGTCAATTTTATATAAAACTGCCTGTATTTTCATTTAATTTCCATTCTTCACAAGACATTATTTCCTCATCTCTAATTGAGGAAACATCATTCCTACTCACTAAATATTAAACCATTTCATGAGGATGCTTAAATTCAAATATAAAGTGCTTTCCATTGCTCATGGTTTTTATGACATATTTTACCGACAAGTACATCAATACTTTATAAAATAACACGAATAATTCCTTAATTAGCCTATATATTTAGACTAGATTTAAAATCTCTTAAAATATGCTTCCAGTTAGGATTTTTAAAAAAGAAAAAAGGCTGAGATGTATCAGCATCACACAGCAGACAGGCAGCTGGCCTAGTGACTGAGATCTGGACTACAGTCCTAATGGACCAGTAGCCTTAACAGACAAGTATCTAATCTCTCAGGGCAATAAGAGATATGAAAGGAAGGGGGTGAATTTGATTACCTTTAAGATTCCTTTAAACTCTAATCACTATAATAATAGTTAATTCAAATACAAATCCTCTAGAAATACTAGAATTAGCATTCTTCATTTTATCCAGGCAGCGATGTTCCCTTCATCTATTATTCTGAATAAAGTATACACAGACACATTGTTTTACTCCTTAAATAACCAGCTACAAGTAAATACATAAACTTACAGTAGTCCTCAGCAGCACTACGTCACAGTCTTTAATTGCAGCTCTGACACAGGTCGCTTTCACCCGCCACTCAGGCATCCAATAGAGGAGGAGGAGGAGAAACCCACCAGTGCAAATCACTCCTAAAGAAACTATGGCAAGCTTCCAGCGACTCAAATTGTAACCATAAATCTCCTGCATGGACACAGCAATCACGTGATTAATTATCAAACGATATGGCAGATAAATACATTCCAAAGTTCTTTGTTTCCCAGATAGGTATTATCGTCTTGTCACATAAACTGTATTTTCTCAATCCATAATTTACCTTTAAATTTTGTTTCTGATCAGTTTACTGTAATATTTTAAGTAAATTTGTTGGTATTTACACTTTGTTTTTATATTTAATTTATGCCTAATACATTCTTTTCCACTGATATAGTAAATTCATATTTGGTACACTTTCCTAGAATGTTTGCAATTTCATTTTTACATATCTTTTTTAATTCTTCTTGAATTTATCTTGTTATGAGGTGGGCTTTTTTTTTAAATTAACATTTGATTTTGAGATAAATTTTAGATTTATAGAAAAGTTGCAAAAATATTATGAAGTTCCTGACATCCTTTGTGCAGTTTCCACTAATGTTAACATTTCCTGGTACATTTGTTAAAAATCAATAGATTAACACTGCTGTATTACTATTAACTAAACTCTGTTTTAGGATTTCACTAGTTTTCCACTAACATGTTATTGCTGTTGCACGATATAATTGAGAGTATCACAGTACATCTGGATGAATAGATTTTAATTTACTGTTTCCCAAATGATTTACTAATTGTCCCAATACCACTGCAAATGATCAATTTGATCCACTGACAAATTGTCTCATAGTTTCAGGTTAGCTCCCCCAACAAGCATTGCCAGATTTAACAAATGAAAATGCAGGGGGCCCACTTAAATTAAAATTTCAAATAAATAATAATCCTTTTGTCTGTCCCATGCAACATTTGGACATATTTATGCTAAAAATTTCTCCCTTGATTATATGATTTTTACATTTAACAGGGCATCTTATACTTTACCTGACATCTTTCTGGCTCCCACCAACAAAAAGTAGAGAAAGCTGATTTTAGAAAATTTTTGTAAGTCAAAATGAGAAATCTTTATTTGGTATTATACTTAAATCTTTTATTTAGGATTATATTAGCCAATGTTACCTCTTAAATCACCAAATGCAAAAACATACTTCTAAGTTTTAACAGACCACAAGTAAAAAAAGAATTATACTAAAAGCAACTAATAGACATACTACACAATCCCAATTCAAAAGCACAGGATGAAGAAAGAAGCCCACTGAGTTAGCTGCTGCTGCTACTGTTAATTGTCTTTTTCTAGTCCCTAAAATAATAAATTGCGAGAGAAGGTCTTCATACTTCACAAGTAAATTAGAACAGCTGTTTACCATTTCATCTTCTTGACCCTGATTGATGATCTTCCTTTCTTCCTTGTCCATACCTACAGTGGTTTAAAGGTCTTGTGCTTCAAAACAATGGAAGATCACTGAGGGAAAAAAGGGAACAAATGTTAGTGAATTATTTTATATCTCAGCAGACGATACAACTTCATTCCATCAATTGTCTATTATACAAGGGGTCCCTAACCCCTTGGTCACAGACCTGTTAGGAACAGGGCCACACAGTAGGAGGTGAGTGACAGGCAAGCAAGCATTACTGCCCCAGCTCTACCTGCCATCAGATCAACAGCAGCATTAGATTCTCATAGGAGCATGAACCCTACTGTGAACCACGCATGGCAAGGGATCTAGGGTGCACGCTCCTTATGAGAATCTAATGTCTCAGGATCTGAGATGGAACAGTTTCATCCCGAAACCATCCCTCCCCACCCGTAACTGTCTTCCATGAAACCAGTCCCTGGTGCCAAAAAGGTTGGGGACCGCTGTTTTATACCATTGAAGTGTTCTTTTAATATTTAATAAAATTTTGTTTAAATATGAATTCTTCCAAAGCAGTGATGTATTCATCACTTGCTCATGGGATGTATCAAACTTTAGATGACACATAAGTAGTTTCTAAAGTGCTAGCTGGTTCTAATGACATTTTCAATGGGATACCAGTGCTTCAACCTGCATTACTTAACTACCACAAAACATGGCATATTTCATTAATTCGTTCAGACTAGCAACAACTTCGATACAGAACAATTTATATTCTGAGAGGAACTACTAACAGAGTCTTCCTTTTTCATTCCACAGATTCAGAAGTAGTCTAGTTTAAGCATCTTGAGCTAAAAGTACTTCACACAACTCAAATTTATGCCCTGTAGCATAGTAAAGAGCTACAACACTAGCAGTGAAACCAACCCAAAAACTTCTCAGAGATTATTAATCATCCAATAAATATTGACTGAGCACCAATTACATAAATGGCAATCCCTGGCCAAGAGCCAATCACTATGGCAGGTTACCTACTTTGAGAGCTGCGGGCTTGACTCCAGGCATTCAACTCAAGTTCAAACGGAATGGATTGCTTCTGGATGACTAGAAGGGTGCCAGGGAAAAATCATTTTGAGAGCCGACTGACATATTTTTCCGTTTTTTTTTTTTTTGTATTTCAAATATTAACATTTCAGCTACACATTAAGAAATTGTCAAAGATTAAAACCATGCCAGTTTCTTAACTTTTTTGCTTTTCAGAAATGATCTTCAAAAATGTTACTTAAAAATGGTAATTATTTTTTTAATAAATATTTAAAATATCAGTTTTTAAGGTGTTGCGATTATATTGGGTTATCATGCGTATGTAGTCCCAGCATAAATATAAGCTCTTTAGGCACGCACAAAATTGTTCAAGGGAAGGCAAATGGGTTTCAGCTCCCCGGGAGTTTATAGCAAACCAGTGCTTAGATGAGGCGTGATCTGCACGGCTGAATATTACTGCCCTATCGTGGGTTCAGATTCGCCTATACATCTTGATCATTTACCAGTCCACGGGTGTGCCGCGAGGCGTTGGACAGCGGTACTGCGACTCAAAAAATGCTCTACTGAATAAGTGGACCTGTTTTTTGTTTTTTTTTTTTGTTGAGTACGGGTTCTTCGCTTGTCGCCCAGGTGGAGTGGCGGTTGCGTACTCTCAGCATCATGGCAAGCTCCACGCTTGCCGGGGCTCACTTCTCGCGCCTCAGGCATCCGAGTAGCTAGACTAAAGGCGGCCCGCCCTCGCCCGGTAGGTTTTTGTCATTGTGGTTAGTAGAGACAGGGGTTTTCACCATGTTGCGGGATGGCTTGATCTCCTGGACCTTCGTGATCCTGCCCGTCTCAGCTGCCGAAACTTCTGGAACTGTCGTTATTAATTCCACTCATAAAAATTACAGCCGTCTGATTTCGTTGGCGCTCTGTTTTGCTAGCCTATTCCTCGGTGAAGTGTTGTGGAGCAGCGGTCACCGACCGGCCAATGGATGATTTTAAAAATGTGCACTAAGTAAATACCTATTTTTTTAAGATGATATAAATTAACAGCCAAGTAAAAACAAATGCAGAATTTAAGTAACCCATACATAACATTGTTGAAATTTTCCTGATGTTCTATCATAAAGTAACCAAAAAAGAGGGTCTAGCTGCCGAGCTTGGTGGCTCACGCCTGTAATCCCAGCACTCTGGGAGGCCAAGGCAGGCAGATCACCTGAGGTCAGGAGTTCAAGACCAGAACGGCCAACATAGTGGAAAACCACATCTTTACAAAATACAAAAATTAGCGGGCATAATGGTGGGTGCCTGTAATCCCAGCTACTCAGGAAGCTGAGGCGGGAGAATTGCTTGAACCCAGGAGGCAGAGGTTGTAGTGAGCTGAGATCACATCACTGTACTCCAGCCTGGGCCACAGAGAAAGACTTCATCTCAAAAAAGAGACGGGTCTGTCTATACAGTTACTTATGTCGTTTTAATAATTTCACTCCTAACTATGACATTATTATCAAATATGTGAATACATAAACATTGGTACAATAATAAATAACCAGCAAGATAATGAACTCGGTGCCACTGTGGAAAAGGAGAACCCTTACACACTATCGGGTCCAACTTCCTCTAAACAAGCCGTATGACCATACGAAATCTTTTGGGCATGGTAACAAGGTCTTCTCCACCTAGGGCAGTGTAATGGTCCTAGAGTATATTACCAGAGTTAGTCCACCATAATAACGTTCCATAAAATCAAACACTTTTGGGTGTCAGTTATTCTCAAGGGCTGCGCCTGTTACTAGAGACTATGGTGAGAGTAAGCCCAGCCTCTTTCCCTGTAGATAAGATCAGCCATCATCACCTGAATGTGTAAACTAATAATACCGTACAGGCCTACTATCAAAGGATAAACCGAAGACCTTTTGCTGTGACACTGTCCCGGCTAAACAATACTAGTCTGAGATTAACCTTTACTCTGTGATTCTTCTTAAGGCTTAAAAGTGAATCTTGTAGTCATCACTCAGCAGTCACCAGGGTCAGTTTGGGTTTGGGTTTATTTGTTTTCTTTAAATAGAGACAGGGTCTCACTATGTTGCTCAGGCTGGTTTAGAACTCCTGGGCTCAGGCAATCCTCCCACCTCAGCCTCCCAAAATGCTGAGATTGCAGGAATGAGCCACCACATCCCACGGGGTCGTTTTTGATAACCAATTCTGATCTCCAGTTCCAATCACCACCACCTAAAATTGCTTCCTCAGGGAAGGGCTTACTTCGCATTCTCATACGGAGACTTCTGCTTCCAACCAAGTTGAAACAAAAGGGATCATCCTTGCCCTCCTGCCCTAAAGCAACAACAAATCATGTAATCGTTTTCGAGGAATTGTACATCAGGCAATGAAGAAAACTGATAACTGAGACATCAAAAAACAAACTAGGCAAGCCCTACAACCGTCCTACTTTACTGACGGAAAACACTTCACGGGTCACACAAAGAGGGAGGACAGGTCGCTCCGAGGGAGCCCAGCAGTTTCTCTGAGTCTGGGAGACGAAACCGGAAGTCTGGGCAGCACCAAAGCAATGAGGTTTGCTGATGAGATCACCAGAAGAGAGTCTGGCCCACTAGGAAGACAACTGATCTGCAAGACGGACCCCCTCAAGCCTTCAGCTGCGCACTGCTCAGCACTTGTGTGTGAAGAAACTACCGAAGGCCAGGGAGAGAACCACCCAAAATGATTCAGGGGATTAAACCACCAGGGCTCACAAAAGGCTGGGAATCATATCCATTTTTACCAACCACAGTGGAAAACCCCATTAGCCACAAGGAATCAGGAAGGGTATTCAGATTTTTGCTTTAGTTAGTGGGATAAATTTTGCCTCAAACAAAAACTGCTCTGGTACTGCCTAACAAAGCGTAAACCTAAGACCTGAAATAATACAACTGTTTTCAAGTAAATAAGGCTAGGCGCAGGCTCACATCCGCAATCCCATCTCTTGGGAGGCTGGGGCAGGCAGATCACCTGAGGCCAAAAGTTCGAGACCAGCCTGGCCAACATGGTGAAACCTCATCTCTACTAAAAATACAACAAGAAAAAAACAACTAGCCAGGCATGGTGGTGCATGCCTGTAGTCCCAGCTACTCGGGAGGGTGAGGCAGAAGAATTGCCTGAATCCCAGAGGTGGAGGCTGCAGTGAGCCAAGATCGCGCCACTGCACTCCAGCCTGGGCAACAGAGTGATGCTCTGTCTCAAAAAAAAAAATTACAAACTTTTAAAACACCAACGGGCCAAAGTCGTCAAAGTGGAAAATACAAAGTATTCTGAACTGAATAAAAATGATATACTGAAATGTGTAAGATGCCACAAAAACAGTACTTAGAAAAAAATTTACAGCACTAAATTCCAGTCTCTGAGAGAAGAAAGGTCATGACCTCAGCTTCCACCTTAAGAAAAGCAGAGAAAGAATAGCAAATTACTCCCAGAATAACTGCTATAGGGAAATAAAATTCAGAGAAAATAGTAAATAAAATAAAAAAACAGAAAGATAGAGGAAATGTCACTGAAACCAAAAAGGCTGGTTCTCTGAAATCCATAAAATTGTTAACTGCTACCTAGACTCATCAAAATGAAAGAAAATGGGGAGGGAGAGGTGCAAATTACCAATATCAGTAATAAGCAGATATACCACAACAGACTATGCAAGTATCAGAAGGCTAATCAAGGAACTTAAGAAGCAACCTGACACTGATACACCAACGTTTTTGGAGGTTTAAAGTTACTTCAAAATTAAAAATTGTTAAATTAAAAAACCCATCTTTATTGACCAGGGGATGGCCATGAGTTTGATAACTGCTAAAGCTAAGTTAAAAGCTGAGTGAATGGGTACATGGGAGTCCATTATACTAGTCTTTCTACTTTTTAATGTGTAGAAATTGTTGATAATAGAAAAGCTTTTCAAAAAATAAATTAAACAGCTGGGTGCAGTGGTGTATGCCTATAGTCTCAACTACTCAGGAGGCTGAAATGAGAGAACCACTTGAGCCCAAGACTTTGAGTCCAGCCTGGGCAGAACAGTGAGACTCCAATGCTA